AGGGGTACAGGATACAGTTCAGAACTCTATGCTCACTGTTGTCTTCTGAAGAATTAACAACAAACTGACCACAGAGTCAGATTTGCAGACCCATCTCCCTGCTGCCATTTACTTTCAAGCTCCTTGAGCGCTTAGTCTACAATCGCCTAAGCGCACCACCTCACTGACAACAACCTCCTCGATCCACTACAGTCTGGCTTCCGTCCCCTACACTCCACCGAAACTGCCCTACTCAAAATCACTAATGACCTGCTAACTGCCAAAGCTAATGGCCATTATGCAGTCCTTTTACTCCTTGACCTCTCCGCGGCCTTCGACACAGTCGACTACCCCCTCCTCCTTGATAAACTACACTCCCTTGGCATCAGAGACTCTGCTCTCTCCTGGCTCTCCTCCTACCTATCCCAATGCTCCTTCAGTGTTACCTATAACGCTACCACCTCCCCCTCTCTGTTGGGGTCCCCCAAGACTCTGTCCTCTGGCCCCTTCTCTTCTCCATCTACACCTCCTCCCTCGACAAACTGATACACTCCCACGGCTTCAACTCAAATTTACCTCTCCACCCCTTATCTCACCCCTTCAGTCTCTGCCCGTATCACCCACCTGCTGAACGACATATCAGACTGCATGTAGCTCCATTTCCTCAAACTGAACCTTTCCAAAACCGAGCTGCTAATCTTTCCCCCAGCCCGCGCCCCCCCCCCCTCCATCACGACCAACAACACCACCATCAGTCCCATCCCGCAAGCCAAAGTCCTAGGTGTCACTATAGACTCAAACCTGTCCTTCCTACCCCATGTCCAATCGTTGGCAAACTCATGCAGGCTCCACCTCCGCAACATCTCCAAAATACGTTCGTTCCTAACCCCAGACACTACTAAACAACTTGTTCACTCCCTCATTATTTCACGTCTGGACTACTGCAACTCCCTTCTCACCGGCCTACCCCATCACAGACTATCCCCGCTTCAGTCTATCCTGAACTCAGCAGCCAGACTCATCCACCTTACCAACCGCTCCTCTTCTGCCACCTCCCTCTGTCATTCCCTCCACTGGCTCCCGATTACCCAACACATTAAATTCAAACTACTAACACTGACATACAAAGCTATTCACAACGCTGCCCCAAACTACCTCACCGACCTGATACCAAAATACCACCCAACCCATAATCTTCGCTCCTCACATGACCCTACTTTCTAGCTCCCTTGTCTCCACCACCCACGCCCAACTGCAGGACTTCTCCAGGACTTCCCCCGTCCTCTGGAACTCACTACCCCAATCCATCAGACTGTCACCTACCTTCCTCACATTTAGGCGCACCCTGAAAACCCATCTCTTCAAGGAAGCCTACCCCACCCTCACCTAACAACCGATCTCCTCCACTCCTCCTACCACTCCATCCCCCACAGCCACTTCCTCCTGTACCACTTTCCCCTCCCTCCTAGATTGCAAGCTCGAAAGAGCAGGGCCCTCAAACCCCTCGTGTTTTGTTTTGTTACTGTGTTGTCTCATGTTCTGTCCCCCCAATATAATGTACAGCGCTGAGCAAACCTTTCTGGTGCTATATAAATACTGTATAATAATAATAATTTGCAGAATGCCTTGCACCATCTCATATCACAGGGAGTAGTTGGGGCAGTGCCTCCACAAGACCAGTTCAAAGGATTATATTCAAAACTTTACCAAAGCCCAGCACGGATATTTGTAATATGCTGGACTTAAAATCTCTCAACTAATACATTAAAATTCCCAAATTTTACATGGACTTTGCAAGGTCAGTAATTGCCTCTTTGAGACAAGGTGAATACAAGGCGTTCATAGACATCCAAGATGCATGTTTCTGCTTATCAACCTCATCAGCGGTTTCTGCTCTTCACAGTGGCAGACGATCACTTTCTGTTTGTTGTACTGCACTTTGGATAATCCTCTGCAACCAGGGTATTCACAAGGTCTTAGCACTTTTTCTTTCTCCTCTCTGAACTCAGGAAATAGAAGTCACAGGCTATTTAAATTACCTTCTCCTGAAGAACTCATCTCCTCCTATCCAGCGATCAGCAAATGTCCACAGGACAATACAAGTGTTTCAGGTTTTCGAGTGGGTGGCCAATTTACAAAAATCTGCTCTGCAGGCTTCTTTTCAATTGGAATACTTGGGTCTGGTCCTGGACACATCCTAAGCAAGGGTTTTCCTTGCAGAAAGCAGAATTCTTTCTCAAAAAAATTTGTCCCATTTCAGTCAAGAGCTCTCCTCTCTAACACAACGGAACATCTTGCCTGCCGGACTATCACAGTCCCACTATAAGTCCAGGCCGTCATTACTAGTATTAGCAAAAAAAAAAAAATTCCATTATATATACCATCGTTTATAGATGCAATAACTTTCACGCAAACCAATTAATATACACTTATTGGGATTTTTTTTTTTTTACCAGAGACATGTAGCAAAACACATTTTGGCCTAAATTTATGATTAAACTTGATTTTTTAAAATTTTTTTTTTTATTAGATACAGTTGCAAGAAAAAGTATGTGAACCCCTTGGGATTACGTGGAGTTTTGCATGAATTGGGCATAAAATGTGCTCTGAACGTCATCTAAGTCACAACAATAGAAGAACACAGTCTGCTGAACATAATACTACACAAACATTAGATGTTGCCATGGTTTAATTGCACATAACATGTAAACATTCACAGTACAGGGAGGAAAAAGTATGTGAACCTTTGGACTTAATAACTGGTTGACCCTCCTTTGGCAGCAATAACCTCAACCAAACGTTTCCTGTAGTTGCAGATCAGACCTGCACAACGATCTGGAGTCATTTTGGACCACTCCTCTTCACAAAACTGTTTCAGTGTAGCAATATTCTTGGGATGTCTGGTGTGAATCGCTCTCTTAAGGTCATGCCACAGCATTTCAATGGGGTTGAGGTCAGGACTCTGACTGGGCCACTCCAGAAGGCATATTCTGTGCTGTTGCAGCCATTGTTTTGTTGAATTACTTGTATGCTTTGGGTCATTGTCCTGTTGCATCACCCATCCTCTGCGGAGCTTCAGTTGGCGGACAGATGGTCGTACGTTTTCCTGCAAAATGTCTTGATAAACTCTGGAATTCATTTTCCCATCAATGACAACAATCCGTCCAGGCCCTGAGGCAGCAAAGCAGCCCCAAACCATGATGCTCCCTCCGCCATGTTTCACAGTGGGGATGAGGTTTTGATGTTGGTCTGCTGTGCCTTTTTTTCTACACACATAGTGTTGTGTGTTCTTCCCAAACAACTCAATCTTGGTTTCATCTGTCCACAGTATATTTTGCCAGTAGTGCTGTGGAACTTCCAGGTGCTCTTTTGCAAACTTCAAACGTGCTGCAATATTCTTTTTGGACAGCAATGGCTTCCTCCGTGGTGTCCTCCCATGTACTCCATTCTTGTTTAATGTTCTCCTTATTGTAGATGTGTCAACAAAAATGTTAGCATGTGCCAGAGATTTCTGTAGGGCTTTAGCTGACACTCTGGGATTCTTCTTTACCTCATGCAGCATTCTGCGCTGTGCTCTTGCAGTCATTTTTACAGGACGACCACGCCTAGGGAGAGTAGCAACAGTGCTAAACTTTCTCCATTTGTAGACAGTCTGTCTTACCGTGGACACATGAACATCAAGGCTTTTGGAGATACTTTTGTAACCCTTTCCAGCTTCATGCAAGTCAACAATTCTTGATCGTAGGTCTTCTGAGAGCTCTTTTCTGCGAGGCATGGTTCACGTCAGACAGTGCTTCTTGAAACCAGTAAACCCAAAACAGTTGTGTGTTTTTTAAGGGCAGGACAGCTGTCAGCAACACATCCAATATCATCACACTGATTGGAGTCAAGATTGGCTCACTCCTGGCTCCAATTAGCTCTGGGAGAAGTCATTAAGCTAGGGCCTCACATACTTTTTTCCTCCCTGCACTGTGAATGTTTACATGTTATGTGCAATTAAACCATGGCAACATCTAATGTTTGTGTAGTATTATGTTCAGCAGACTGTGTTCTTCTATTGTTGTGACTTAGATGACGTTCAGACACATTTTATGCCCAATTCATGCAAAACTCCACGTAATCCCAAGGGGTTCACATACTTTTTCTTGCAACTGTAAGTTTTATTGAAAGTAAAAAAATATATATATTTTTTCAACATTTTTGGTCTTATTTCATTTATATAATAGAAAAAAAACCCAGTGGTAATCAAATACTACCAAAAGCTCTATTTGTTAGAAAAAAATGTAAATTTCTTTTGGGTACAGCGTAGCATCAGCACGCAAATGCCAGTTACAATTTTGCATTGCTGAATAGCACCACAGTGGAACACACAGCCATGTGGTTAAGCGGCTGACAGGGACACACACACACTCTCTCACTCTCTCTCCATGCCCCTTTGTCAAGCCGCATTTCTATTGTATGATCAAGAGTCAGTTTATGATTACAATATTCAGACTACATAAAGTGAATAAAAGCATTCTTTGTAATTGTATTTGTGTCTTAAAGTGGAGCTACACCCAAAAGGGAAAGTTCTGCTTTGTGCCTTTGTCCCCCGCTCCCCATTAAGGATTGGCACCTTTGGGGAGCGGGTACCCAAATTTGACAGGTACTTGCTCCCACTTTCACTGCGATCGCATAGGCGATTGGAAGCAGAAGTTGTCCTTTCCCCCTCCCACCCCGTAGTCTTCTGGAACATGTGACAGGTCCCAGAAGACTACGGGCCATTCACAAAGTGCAGCGCTTCTCGTGCATGCGCGCTGTGGGCACCCGGCTGTGAAGCCGCAAACTGTCACAGCCGGGTGCCCACACTGAAGATGTCGGCACCAGGGAGAGAAGACATCCAGTGAATACAGCCATGGTGAGGACACCGCTGGACCCTGGAACAGGTAAGTGTCTGTATTTTAAAAGTCTGCAGCTACAGTTTTTGTAGTGGTTGACTTTTATTTTTATTTTTTTTCAGGTGGAACTCCGCTTTAACTCACCTCTGAATGTTGCAGTTCGATACTCTCTGGCCACACTGGTCTCTTCTTCTTCAGTAGCGATTTGAAGCCTGGGGACAGCTCCTTGTGAAGATGTCTCCTTCAAAGAACATGTGGTGTTAAGAAAACAGTTGCGAAATATTTGATAAAAGGTGAATAGATTATATTACTTACATCACTGTTTTTTGACACTCTGTCTAGGTCTAAGGGTGACTCCTCAAAGATTTCATCATAGAAGACAATGAGTGCCTCAATAATTCGTGCTTGATGAGGATAGTCCACAAGAGATGATAGAGATACAGTGGCATCTGTAGGGCGTGGTCGCATCAATGCAGGCCCAAAAACAATACCTATGTTGCTTGGGCTCATCTTGTTCTGTTGTTCAAGTTCTGAAACTCTACATGTAAAAATGATCATATATTGGTATTTAAAAATTAACTTTTAGGATACAATAATACAGGCTGCTATTAGTCATGGAACTAGTTTAAAATACTAGTTCCATGGCTGTCATGCTGATGCTTTAATTTTAACTCTGAATGGGAAGAGAAGAGCTGGAACTTCACAGTGATCAGCAGCTGCCAGCCAGCTTGCAGTATGGAATGGAGTCTGAGAGGAACACTGAAAGGAGCAGCAGCTCAGCTGCTACACTGGCCCCAGACACCCTGCATCTTCCTCTGTCCTTTCTTCCTCCCCTCTGCCACCCCTATTCTCAGATGAAGGATCATTCATGATGTGGCGGCACCCACACAGAGAATGCTGGCTTGTGCTGCGCCCAGGCGCCCCTAGGTGGCAGTGCGCCCTAGGCGGCCACTTAGTTTGCCTAGTGGAAGCTCCGGCCCTGATGTCCCCATAGCAAGCTGTTTGTTGTGGGGGTAACTGACAGACAGGAGAGCATGCGAGGGACCCAAGAAGAGGAGGATCCAGGCTGCTCTGTGCAAAAACACTGCACACAGCAGGTAAGTATAGACATGTTTGTTGTTTTACAAAAAATTAACCTTTAGAAATGCTTTAACAGTTGCCATTTGGCATTTACAATCTTTATGACTAAGAGTTCATTCAATAATATTCAGATTTTCACATTTTTACTATTTTTGTTTTTCACATTTTTGCAATAATCTAGTTCATGCATGATCATCACTGGTCCCCAACAGCCAACATACCTGCACAAATGCTTTATCAAATACTGCAGAGTGACTTTGTTTTCATGAGGTAACTCCATCAGCAGTTCCTTAAGTTTTTCCACCATGGCTTGTACCTCTGGTTCAGTATCTGGTCCTTTGTTCTCCAGTCGGGACGGCTTACCTGTCTCGCAACCACGTAGGCTTTCCTTTGCAAGACCCATAAGGCCATTGTACAGCCGGAATGGCATTAGAGGCTCAGGTAGCTGAATAAGAGTGAATGTTTAGTGTTACTAATAAGAATTACCGGGGTGAACACGGGCATCCTGACCCATATGAGTTCTGTAGATAACTTACCTGTCGAAGATAAAGTTTAAGAACATTACTCAGATCATGAGGTGATGCCTGAGAAAGTTCAACTAGCTCCTTGCCATTTTCAAAAGCTTGACACAAAACTTCTCCACACGAGTCTTTACACCATTCACTCGGTATATACCCTGCAGAACAAGCACAGCAATATAAGAATTACAAAAATTCAGCTAAAACCAACACAATTTATGATAGCACGCAGAATATAAAAATACTATATAGTCACCTTCATAGTTAGAGCACGTGCTTCTATCTCAGAGACACACTTGTGGATCAGGAAAGGCACTCCATCTGGAGACCTTTGTGCTGCCTCTGAGAAGTTTCTGCCAAACAAAAGAAGCCGACCCTGCAATTTCTTGTGTCCACACTGAATAGCCAGAGTTTCCAAACATTTCTTGTGACAAGCAAGGGAGCACTAAGGAAATATAAACAGGACATAGCAAAATAGATGTGAACTTGTGTTCTGTAGGTACAGCTTAGGAGTCATCTGAAAGGTATAAGATGCCATGAGTTGCATTCAATTCTCAAGCCACTCAAATATGGAGTTTGTAAAGAAACTTAAAACATAGCTTCAAAGGAGGACATAAACTTACAGATTTGGCCTGCAGGCCAGCTCCTAGGAACCCTTACATTTATATGTCAGATAAGAAACGTTCACTGAGTACACAGGCGATAATAGAATGATCTGTACATTGGCAAGCATGGGTAAAGGGTTTTATTTCATAAAGCAGGGGTCCTCAAACTATGGCCTGCCAAAGACATTTATCCGGCCCGGCTGGCCAGCCAAAAAAAAAAAAAACAAAGCATGGCGCCGGCCGGCAAATAGTTAGGCTGCTTGCTGGGTCCTCGGCCGTGAGGATCCAGCGAATGGCAGCCTGGAAGCCCTGGATTTGACCTGTTGCAGCCAGAGGAGCAACAGGAGAGGAGGAGAGCACACCAGGCACCAGGTACAGTGTCTTGCGGTGTATCAGTGTACAGTGCATTGTGATGTCCAGTGTATCAGTGTACAGTGTATTGCGGTGTCCAGTGTATCAGTGTACAGTGTGTTACAGTGTCCAGTGCATTGCGGTGTCCAGTGCGTCAGTGTGCCAGTGCATTGTGGTGTCCAGTGCGTTACAGTGTACAGTGCGTTAGTGTACAGTGTATTGTGGTGTCCAGTGTATTAGTGTACAGTGCGTTACAGTGTACAGTGCATTGTGGTGTCCAGTGTATTAGTGTACAGTGCACTACAGTGTAGAGTGCGTTAGTGTACAGTGCATTATGGTGTCCAGTGTATTAGTGTATAGTGCGTTACAGTGCATTGTGGTGTCCAGTGTATTAGTGTACAGTGTGTTACAGTGCATTGTGGTGTCCAGTGTATTAGTGTACAGTGTGTTACAGTGCATTGTGGTGTCCAGTGTATTAGTGTACAGTGCGTTACAGTGTACAGTGCATTGTGGTGTCCAGTGTATTAGTGTACAGTGCATTACAGTGCATTGTGGTGTCCAGTGTATTAGTGTACAGTGCGTTACAGTGCATTGTGGTGTCCAGTGTATTAGTGTACAGTGTGTTACAGTGCATTGTGGTGTCCAGTGTATTAGTGTACAGTGTGTTACAGTTTGCATTGTGGTGTCCAGTGTATTAGTGTACAGTGTGTTACAGTGCATTGTGGTGTCCAGTGTATTGTGTACAGTGTGTTACAGTGTACAGTGCATTGTGGTGTCCAGTGTATTAGTGTACAGTGTGTTACAGTGCATTGTGGTGTCCAGTGTATTAGTGTACAGTGCGTTAGTTACAGTGCATTGTGGTGTCCAGTGTATTAGTGTACATCTTGTGTTACAGTGCATTGTGGTTTCCAGTGTGTGTTACAGTGTACAGTGCGTTAGTGTACAGTGCATTGTGGTGTTCAGTGTATTAGTGTACAGTGTGTTACAGTGCATTGTGGTGTCCAGTGCATTACAGTGTACAGTGGGTTAGTGTACAGTGCATTGTGGTGTCCAGTGTATTAGTGTACAGTGTGTTACAGTGCATTGTGATGTCCAGTGCGTTACAGTGTACAGTGTTGTGTGGTGTCCATTGTATTAGTATATAGTGTTACAGTGTACAGTGCATTGTGGTGTCCAGTGTATTAGTGTACAGTGCGTTACAGTGCATTGTGGTGTCCAGTGTATTAGTTAGTGTACAGTGCCTTACAGTGCATTGTGATGTCCAGTGCGTTACAGTGTACAGTGCGTTAGTGTACAGTGCATTATGGTGTCCAGTGTATTAGTGTACAGTGCGTTACAGTGCATTGTGGTGTCCAGTGTATTAGTGTACAGTGTGTTACAGTGCATTGCGATGTCCAGTGTATCAGTGTACAGTGTGTTACAGTGCATTGTCCAGTGTCCAGTGTAGTGTACAGTGTATTGCGGTGTCCAGTGTATCAGTGTACACAGTGTGGTGTCAGTGTAGTGTACAGTGTTACAGTGTCCAGTGCATTGCGGTGTACAGTGCGTCAGTGTCCAGTGCATTGTGGTGTTACAGTGCGTGTTGTGGTGTGTACAGTGTATAGTGTACAGTGCATTGTGGTGTCCAGTGTATTAGTGTACAGTGTGTTACAGTGTACAGTGCATTGTGGTGTCCAGTGCGTTACAGTGTGCAGTGCGATAGTGTACAGTGCATTGTGGTGTCCAGTGTATTAGTGTACAGTGTGTTACAGTGTACAGTGCATTATGGTGTCCAGTGCATTAGTGTACAGTGTTGTTACAGTGCATTGTGGTGTCCAGTATATTAGTGTACAGTGTGTTACAGTGCATTGTGGTGTCCAGTGCATTAGTGTACAGTGTGTTACAGTGCATTGTGGTGTCCAGTGTATTAGTGTACAGTGTGTTACAGTGTACAGTGCATTGTGGTGTCCAGTGTATTAGTGTACAGTGTGTTACAGTGCATTGTGGTGTCCAGTGCGTTACAGTGTACAGTGCGTTAGTGTACAGTGCATTGTGGTGTCCAGTATATTAGTGTATACAGTGTGTTACACTGCATTGTGGTGTCCAGTGTATTAGTGTACAGTGTGTTACAGTGTACAGTGCATTGTGGTGTCCAGTGTATTAGTGTACAGTGTGTTACAGTGCATTGTGGTGTCAGTGCGTTACAGTGTACAGTGCGTTAGTGTACAGTGCATTGTGGTGTCCAGTGTATTAGTGTACAGTGTGTTACAGCGCATTGTGGTGTCCAGTGTATTAGTGTACAGTGCGTTACAGTGTACAGTGCATTGTGGTGTCCAGTGTATTAGTGTACAGTGTGTACAGTGCATTGTGGTGTACAGTGTACAGTGCGTTAGTGTACAGTGCGTTACAGTGCATTGTGGTGTCCAGTGTATTACAGTGTACAGTGTGTTAGTGTACAGTGCATTGTGGTGTCCAGTGTATTAGTGTACAGTTACAGTTACAGTGCATTGTGGTGTCCAGTGTATTAGTGTACAGTGTGTTACAGTGCATTGTGTGTCCAGTGTGTTACAGTGTACAGTGCGTTACAGTGTACAGTGCATTGTGGTGTCCAGTGTATTAGTGTACAGTGCATTACAGTGCATTGTGGTGTCCAGTGTATTAGTGTACAGTGCGTTACAGTGCATTTTGGTGTCCAGTGTATTAGTGTACAGTGCGTTACAGTGCATTTTGGTGTCCAGTTTATTAGTGTACAGTGTGTTACAGTGCATTGTGGTGTCCAGTGCATTAGTGTACAGTGTGTTACAGTGCATTGTGGTGTCCAGTGTATTAGTGTACAGTGTGTTACAGTGTACAGTGCATTGTGGTGTCCAGTGTATTAGTGTACAGTGTGTTACAGTGCATTGTGGTGTCCAGTGCGTTACAGTGTACAGTGCGTTAGTGTAGTGCATTGTGGTGTCCAGTATATTAGTGTACAGTGTGTTACAGTGCATTGTGGTGTCCAGTGTATTAGTGTACAGTGCGTGTTACAGTGTACAGTGCATTGTGGTGTCCAGTGTATTAGTGTACAGTGTGTTACACTGCATTGTGGTGTCCAGTGTATTAGTGTACAGTGTGTTACAGTGTACAGTGCATTGTGGTGTCCAGTGTAATTAGTGTACAGTGTGTTACAGTGCATTGTGGTGTCCAGTGCGTTACAGTGTACAGTTAGTGTACAGTGCATTGTGTGTCCAGTATATTAGTGTACAGTGTCAGTACAGTGTACAGTGCATTGTGGTGTCCAGTGTATTAGTGTACAGTGTGTTACAGTGTACAGTGCATTGTGGTGTCCAGTGTATTAGTGTACAGTGTGTTACACTGCATTGTGGTGTCCAGTGCGTTACAGTGTACAGTGCGTTAGTGTACGTTACAGTGTGGTGTTCCAGTGTACAGTGAGTTAGTGTACAGTACATTGTGGTGTCCAGTGTATTAGTGTACAGTGCGTTACAGTGTACAGTGCATTGTGGTGTCCAGTGTATTAGTGTACAGTGTGTTACAGTGCATTGTGGTGTCCAGTGTATTAGTGTACAGTGTGTTACAGTGCATTGTGGTGTCCAGTGTATTAGTGTACAGTGCGTTACAGTGTACAGTGCATTGTGGTGTCCAGTGTATTATGTACAGTGCGTTACAGTGCATTGTGGTGTCCAGTGTATTAGTGTACAGTGCGTTACAGTGCATTGTGGTGTCCAGTGTATTAGTGTACAGTGTGTTACAGTGCATTGTGGTGTCCAGTGCATTAGTGTACAGTGTGTTACAGTGCATTGTGGTGTCCAGTGTATTAGTGTACAGTGTGTTACAGTGTACATTGTGGTGTCCAGTGTATTAGTGTACAGTGTGTTACAGTGCATTGTGGTGTACAGTGCGTTAGTGTACAGTGCATTGTGGTGTCCAGTGTATTAGTGTACAGTGTGTTACATTGCATTGTGGTGTCCAGTGTTATTAGTGTACAGTGTGTTACAGTGTACAGTGCATTGTGGTGTCCAGTGTATTAGTGTACAGTTGCATTGTGGTGTCCAGTGCGTTTACAGTGTACAGTGCGTTAGTGTACAGTGCATTGTGGTGTCCAGTATATATTAGTGTACCAGTGTGTTACAGCGCATTGTGGTGTCCAGTGTATTAGTGTACAGTGCGTTTTACAGTGTACCATTGTGGTGTCCAGTGTATTAGTGTACAGTGCACTACAGTGTAGAGTGCAGTGTACAGTGCATTATGGTGTCCAGTGTATTAGTGTACAGTGTTACAGTGCAGTGTCCAGTGTATTAGTGTACAGTGTGTTACAGTGCATTGTGGTGTCCAGTGTATTAGTGTACAGTGTGTTACAGTGCATTGTGGTGTCCAGTGTATTAGTGTACAGTGCGTTACAGTGTACAGTGCATTGTGGTGTCCAGTGTGTACAGTGCATTACAGTGCATTGTGGTGTCCAGTGTATTAGTGTACAGTGCGTTACAGTGCATTGTGGTGTCCAGTGTATTAGTGTACAGTGCGTTACAGTGCATTATGGTGTCCAGTGTATTAGTGTACAGTGTTACAGTGCATTGTGGTGTCCAGTGCATTAGTGTACAGTGTTGTTACAGTGCATTGTGGTGTCCAGTGTATTAGTGTACAGTGTGTTACAGTGTACAGTGCATTGTGGTGTCCAGTGTATTAGTGTACAGTGTGTTACAGTGCATTGTGGTGTCCAGTGCGTTACAGTGTACAGTGCGTTAGTGTACAGTGCATTGTGGTGTCCAGTATATTAGTGTACAGTGTGTTACAGCGCATTGTGGTGTCCAGTGTATTAGTGTACAGTGCGTTACAGTGTACAGTGCATTGTGGTGTCCAGTGTATTAGTGTACAGTGTGTTACACTGCATTGTGGTGTCCAGTGTATTAGTGTACCAGTGTGTTACAGTGTACAGTGCATTGTGGTGTTGTATTAGTGTACAGTGTGTTACAGTGCATTGTGGTGTCCAGTGCGTTACAGTGTACAGTGCGTTAGTGTACAGTGCATTGTGGTGTCCAGTATATTAGTGTACAGTGTGTTACAGTGCATTGTGGTGTCCAGTGTATTAGTGTACAGTGTGTTACAGTGTACAGTGCATTGTGGTGTCCAGTGTATTAGTGTACAGTGTTTACAGTGCATTGTGGTGTCCAGTGCGTTACAGTGTACAGTGCGTTAGTGTACAGTGCGTTACAGTGCATTGTGGTGTCCAGTGTACAGTGAGTTAGTGTACAGTACATTGTGGTGTCCAGTGTATTAGTGTACAGTGTTACAGTGTACATTGCATTGTAGTGTCCATTGTATTAGTGTACAGTGCATTACAGTGCATTGTGATGTCCAGTGTGTTACAGTGTACAGTGCGTTAGTGTACAGTGCATTATGGTGTCCAGTGTATTAGTGTACAGTGCATTACAGTGCATTGTGGTGTCCAGTGTATTAGTGTATAGTGCATTACAGTGCATTTTGGTGTCCAGTGTATTAGTGTACAGTGCGTTACAGTGCATTTTGGTGTCCAGTTTATTATTTACAGTGTGTTACAGTGCATTGTGGTGTCCAGTGCGTTACAGTGTACAGTGCGTTTAGTGTACAGTGCATTGTGGTGTCCAGTGTGTTAGTGTACAGAGCGTTACAGTGCATTGTGGTGTCCAGTGTATTAGTGTACAGCGTGCCAGTGTATTAGTGTACAGTGTGTTACAGTGCATTGTGGTGTCCAGTGTATTAGTGTACAGTGCGTTACAGTGCATTGTGGTGTCCAGTGTATTAGTGTACAGTGTGTTATACGCTTTGTGGTGTCCAGTGCGTTACAGTGTACAGTGCGTTAGTGTACAGTGCATTGTGGTGTCCAGTGTGTTAGTGTACAGAGCGTTACAGTGCATTGTGGTGTCCAGTGTATTAGTGTACAGTGTGTTACAGTGCATTGTGTTGTCCAGTTAATTACGGTGTACAATGCATTGCGGTATCCAGTGTGTTACAGAGTACAGTGCATTTTAAATATTGTTTTTTTTTTCCTCTTTTTTGCACTACAAATAAGAGCATTCCTTACACTAAAACCCCCTCAACACTCCACTCCTTCGACCTCGCTACCACTGAAGAGGTCACTAAGGTCTTCTCTGAAGCCCACCTCATCTCCTGCCCCCTTGACCCTGTCCCCACACAACTCCTACGATCACCCTCTTCCTCCATCCTATGCTCCTTCACCCACATCTTTAATCTTTCCATCTCTACTGGCGTATTCCCCTCCCCTCTAAAACACGCGCACATCACTCCCATACTTAAAAAAACCCTCCCTGGATCCCACCGACCTGAACAACCTCAGACCCATCTCCCTGCTGCCATTTACATCCAAATTTCTAGAGCGCTTAGTCTATAATCGCCTGAGTTCCCACCTGACCGACAACAACCTCCTTGATCTCCTGCAGTCTGGCTTCCGCCCCCTACACTCCGCCGATACTGCCCTACTCAAACTCACCAACGACCTGCTAACTGCCAAAGCTAATGGCCACTACTCAGTGCTCCTATTCCTCGACCTCTCTTTGCAGCTTTTCCCCCTCCTCCTCAAACATCTACACTCTCTTGACCTCAGGGAATCCCCTCTCTCCTGGCTCTCCTCCTATCTATCACATTGCTCCTTCAGTGCTTCAGTGTTATCTATAACGCTCACACCTCCTCTCCCACTCCCCTCTCTGTTGGGGTCCCTCAAGGTTCTGTCCTCGGGCCCCTTCTCTTCTCCATCTACACCTCCTCCCCTTGGCCAATTGATACACTCTCAAGGCTTCAACTACCATCTCTATGCTGACGACACGCAAATCTATCTCTCTACCCCTCACCTTACCTCTTCAGTCTCCGCTTGTATCATAAACCTACTGAGCGACATATCGGACTAGATGTCATTCCACTTCCTCAAACTAAATCTTTCCAAAACTGAGCTCCTAGTTTTCCCCCCAGCCCGCGCTTTCCCCCCCCCCCCTGACTTCTCCATCAAGACCAACAACACCACCATCAGTCCCTCCCCTCAAGCCAGAGTACTAGGTGTCATCCTAAACTCCAATCTGTCCTTCCAGCCCCAAGTCCATTCCCTGACAAACTCATGCAGACTTCACCTCCGCAACATCTCCTAAATATGTCCATTCCTAACCCCAGAAACCACTAAGCAACTCATTCACTCCCTCATTATATCAAGCCTCGACTACTGTAACTCCCTCCTCATCGGCTTACCCCACCACAGGCTATCCCCGCTTCAGTCTATCTTGAATGCTGCGGCCAGACTCATCTACCTTACTAACCGCTCCATATCCGCCACCCCTCTCTGCCATTCCCTCCACTGGCTTCCAATTGCCCAACGGATAAAATTCAAAATGCTAACATTGACTTATAAAGCTGTTCATAATACTGCCACAAACGACATCACCGATCTGGTATCCAAATACCACCCAAAACGTATTCTCCACTCCTCACAAGACCTCCTACTCTCTAGTTCCCTGGTCTCCTCCTTCCATGCCCGTCTCCAGGACTTCTCCAGGGCTGCCCCCATTCTCTGGAACTCCCTACCCCAATCCATCAGACTGTCACCTACTCTCCTCACCTTTAGGCGCACTCTGAAAACCTATCTCTTTAGGGAAGCCTACCCCGCCCTCAGCTAATTACTGAACTCCTCCACTCCTCCTACCACTCCATCCCCCACAGCTATTTCCTCCTGTACCACTATCCCCTCCCTCCTAGATTGTAAGCTCCAAGGAGCAGGGCCCTCTAACCCCTCGTGTATTGAATCGTATTTTTACTGTACTGTCTCATGTACTGTCTCCCTTTATAATGTACAGCGCTGAGCACACTGTTGGCGCCATATAAACCCTGTATAATAATAATAATAATAATGTGCGGTGTGCATAGGAATGTGTTCATATTTTTTTCAAATTAGTCTGGCCCCCCAACAGTGTGAAAGTTTGAGAACCCCTGCCATAAAGAGTAAATAGACAAGTTACATTGAGAACAGCATGATTAGTTGGTATGACTGTCCTATGTAGCTATTCTAAAAAAAATAAATAAATACATTTATTTTTTTTAAGTGTTACTCCTAAGCTCACCTCCTCACACTCTGCTCCCTGAAAGTACACATAACTGTTACACTCCCGACATTTGCTTGGCGTTCGCAACTTGCGCAGCTTGTGTGTTCGAGCAGCCCGAGATAAGCCAACATTACGAAATGGCCCAGTAGGCAGGGGCACTTCCAAGGCAGCAGGGATCCCATTAATGCCTATATAAAAAAAAAAAAAAAAAAAAAAAAAGAAAGGAGACAGAAGCAATTAATTATAGTTATTATTTATTAATGTTTCAACATTTTGGCCTATTGGTTGCAAACTTCATTAAAGGATAAGTTCACCTTTTATTGAAAAACAATTAATGCACATTTTTTTGCACGTAAAAAAAAATGTGTATTTATTATTTTTGTCTGCAGGAGCCTGAAAAGCATTGCACAAGTAATCAGCAGCTCGCTGATGCCATGCAGGTCTCCTGCAGATCTGTCAGTATAGCTGCTTGCCGTACGGGATGTGCAAACAAGCAGATACACTGACCGGAAGAATGAATGAACTGCCACAGCACTCCACAGTGCTGTGGTAGTTCATTGAGGGCTGGTTCACACTATAGAAATGCAGTCCAGATGCATTCCCGATGCGTTTCCGCAAGCGCATGTTTGACGTGTTCCGGTCCCCCTCTCTTTTTTTTCAATTTAAATAGGGACATGTGTGTTCCAGTTTGTTTTGGTGCATTCCAGTGTGTTTTTGATGCTATTTACCACGTTCCAGTACAGTTCTGTGCAGAAAAAATGCAGCATGTTCTACTTTTTTTCCTGCAACTGGAACGCACTGGACCTGCTGTGACAATCGCGGCGTCAGACCCCAGCCCTTCTCACCAAACGCATGACCAAAGGACTAGCTAATCTAAAACTGCGCTGTCACGTGCGTATCAATGCCACGCCCGCCTGCACCCTTCACAAAGATTTTCCAGCTAATGGACCACAATCTGTGTACTTGCAGCCTTGGAGCAACTGATACTGGGTCAGGTTAATTACGCAATTAACCCTTCACACTGCCACCACCTCCTTTTTGTACACAGAAAGAGGAAACTCGGCAATATCAGCAATAACACTATGATGTTGAATAATCATCTGTATACCACTGTCACCGCAGGCAGGGTATACAGAGGTTTAAACACACACAGTAGCGCTCTTCAGAGACAGGGGTTCTTAGTTTGCATTAAAGAGCTTTAGAAACAGTTCAATAAGATTTATTACTAAAAGGTCAAAAGGGTGCAATAAAAATATTTACAGAAAAAGATGTAGCAAAAATATATATATAAATATACAGAGAGCAATAACACAGCAAAGAGATAACAGAAAGAAGTTTAGAGAGATAAAGTACTTGCCGTCAGCCTTGGTTTAAGCAGCTTTCAAGTGTCAGAGCAAAAGGGCCTTATCTCCCAAACTTAGTTCCGATGTAAAAAGGGAGCTTCTTCAACTTCAACTCAACTCAGCTTTTCCTTAGCTTTTCTAGGAACTCAGCAGGGTGTCTCCCTGAAGCAGAGAACCAATCGCCTCATTTGTTGCAGGCGGAGACCCAAGCTAGAACCAAAATCCCTCCCAAGTTGATACCAGGGCAATAACTTTCCCTGGATACATGTAACACTCTATCCACGAGTAGATTAATCTGCAGAATCACCTGCCGAACGTCTAGATATGAAATATGACATACCTGCTGGGACGGTTAAGGAGATATCATTTTCTGCTCTCCTGTAGATGTAAGCTAGGGGGTGTAATATATCAGACGACTTGTATTAAAATGACTGGTCTGAACATATGCCTGGTTTTTATGTAAGTCTTTCATATTCCAAGATATGAAATCATAGGGGAAAATGGATTTTGAATGTGATGTCTGTTTTACAGTTTATCTAGAATGTCTTTGAAGCTCAGTGAAGGGCTTGGTTTATGGCTTTACGATCCTTTTCCAGCAAGAGTCTGTGTAGACATACGGGGGCCAGGTTAATTGGGGTTTATAACCATGAGCTCTCCCGCTGGGCTTTGATGCCTTTTTGAACTCAGCATCCAGGGACCACGTATCACTCAACAGAGAGGGAGGGGGGAGATTTGTCTAGGAGAGAGAGAGATATACAAGATGGAGGATCCTTAGCAAGATGGAGGACCACGTCCATCTTTGTATGCACAATTGCTACACCTGCAAGTACTGATGTGAACTATGACATTGACAACCATATAACCTACTCTCACACAGAGTTTTGGATGCAGAAAAAAGCAACTGAAACGCATGTAGCATGAATTGGCCCTGAGGACTACAAACCTTGTAGTTTCTCATTCACAGAGGACTGTCGGCCTTTATTTTAAAAAATTTGACAGCTAGCGATGGGGTGGAGGATTGGGGGGAGAGAAGATCCCCTGTTAGCTGCTAGTTGTCAAAGCAGGGAGCTGGGGCTGGTCTGATCATAACATATTACACCCTGAATATGGGTGTAATATGTTACAAAAGGTGAATTTATCCTTTAAGATAACCACATGTTATGTTAAACAAATGCTTTTGTACCTGATACAGTTATTTGCATTCATGTTTCATTTTCAGTGAGGACCGTTTCACATTGTGAGTGATCGGCCTTACAGGTAGGCATTGTGTCCATGCCTGATCACTCGCATGTCATCACTGCAAGAGCGATTACATGAGAGTGGGCACAATTAGCTGCGGGAGCCTGCAGCTTCACATTGCTTTCAGTGCAGCTTCCTCTCACAGCTAATTGTGGGAACCCCTGCTGGTGTTTTCGCATCTAATCACAGACAAGGTGCATTTGCAAGTGTGAATGCACCCTTGAAGAATATGCAAGTCCAACATTTCAAATTCCTGATATGTGCATGCTGTACCATCTGTTCTTGTATGAAAAAATATCCTTTTGTATTGCTTCCTTTGTGTGAAATACCCGGTGTTCCTGCCAGTCTCTCTGCTTATCTATTATAAAATGACCACACTAGGCATGAGAGCACAGTGTGTTCAGTTCTCTAGCTGTGCTGGGAACTCCGTGTGCTCTCCTCCATTGATCAGACCTGACATACCACCCCCTGCACAGCCTTTCACTGGGAACATCATTGTGCAACTGTTTCTCCTCCCCCAGGCCTCTGAGCTCCTTATGCAGCTGAGAACAGTGGGAATGTGATCACTTAAAAAAAGGGGGAAAAAAGATATTTATAATGTTTGTATAGCTCTACCTAGTTCTGCCTTTCATTTCTATTTTAAACTGAATGGGTTGTTTTACAAGGTGACGGTTTACATTCTAGAAGTACGGCTCTCTTTTCTCCTGTTTATACTTACCTAGGTGGATGCAGCTTTGGTCCGAGTTGAGTTCTCCTCTCCACTCTGAGCAGAGAGCAGTGACTGTCAGTGACCGCTCTCTGCTCAGCTCTCCCAGAGCTCACTGGAGCACTGGGCTGTGCAGGGGGAGGGAGGGGCTGGCTCTCAGTGCTTCGCTGAGAGGCTACGCCAGGTGTCGCTCCAGACTCTGGGGTGGATCCCGACTTTGAAATTGGGATCTTTCCCCAGCCTGGACCAGCTGTCAGCTGAAAATGGGTCACAGGAGTCCAGAATGAACTGCACTCCTGTGATCCACAAGAGAAGTACAGCCAAAAGAGCCTTGGCTGTACTTCTCCTTTAAGGTTTAGAAGCTGCTGACCTAATAAATCCTGGATCAGAATGGCAGATATGAAGCTTGTTCCAATCCCCACTCATCAATAGTACCGTTTACACCAGTTTGCCTGTTTTTATACCTCAAATGAACACAGCCTTATTGGTAAACCATTTGTAAATTATTCACTAAAATTCATTAAACAACCACTAACAGTGTTCCCATTTAAACAAGACTAGCCATGACGGGGCGTATGCAAGAATCTGAATATTCTGTCTTACATTATACTTACACTGCAGTCTCTGACCCCTTTTTTTTTTTTATAGCTTTCCTTACCTCTTCTGATCCTGACTCTCCAGCTTGCGTCAGGAAGTCAGAGGTCACCTGACGTCTGTCCCTGACAACTGCTTGACACCTTTGAGACATTTATCAAGCAAATTAGAGACAAGTGTAAATTGGGCTGCCTCCCATTGAGCAAAATCTAATCAACAGTAATTATACTATGTATTTATAACCCCTGCACCTGTAATCCTGAGCAGCCAAATGCAACAGATTTATAACTGAGACAGAATTTCACTGAGGCCTCATTTACACAAGTGTACCTAAGCCTATACCCATGTGACGGCCATGTATGCACAGACACAGCCACTGCTCCCAATTTGACATTCGTGTGGGGGAGCCAGGGTGTGCAGGTGCATGTGCCTGTACTTAGTTTCTGCATTCAGGAACCTCCACACATAGCCACATGGATGTCATATTGGGATCACCAACTGTGACCGTGCAGCCGCTGCGTCCCAATTGACATGGAAAGGACTGTCTGCACAGGGATGCACGGAACACCTGTGCATCCACAATTGGGCAAACACAGCCCTTGCGTACGCCCATGTGAATAAGGTCTAAACAGACACACGATTAAGAAGTGGTCAAGATCAGGTTTTATTCTATTGGAGTGCTACTTAAAGAAGCAGAAAAAAAAATAAAGCCGTAACCTTGTGGTATATCTATCACACAAGCTGTCTATCTGCTCCCATTTAGAACTGCCCTCTTATGAGACAGAAATGATAAATACAAATTATATATATATATATATATATATATATATATATATATATATATATACACACACATACACACACACATACACACACACAGTGCTCAGCATAAATTAGTACACCTCTTTTGAAAAGTAAGATTTTCATCAATATCTCAAAGAAAAGCAAGAACAATTTCCAAGATTTTTACAAAACCGAGTTTTATAGAAGATTTGTTTAGCTCATTACATAAAAGTAAGATTAATAATATAACTTAGATTTCCAAATCTACAGTTTTACTCAAATTAGTTTATGCAAAAATGAATACACCCCACAACAAAGACTACTACATATTTTCTTTGACCTCCAGGATTTGTGAGGACAGCACCAAGTCTTCTAGGCAAGGAATGAACAAGTTGTACAGTAATCAATTCTGTATACATGTCATATCACTATAATGGAGTACAGGGGAGCTGGGATATACATTACTGTATACATGTCATATCACTATAATGGAGTACAGGGGAGCTGGGATATACATTACTGTATACATGTCATATCACTATAATGGAGTACAGGGGAGCTGGGATATACATTACTGTGTACATGTCATATCACTATAATGGAGTACAGGGGAGCTGGGATATACATTACTGTATACATGTCATATCACTATAATGGAGTACAGGGGAGCTGGGATATATACATTACTGTGTACATGTCATATCACTATAATGGAGTACAGGGGAGCTGGGATATACATTACTGTATACATGTCATATCACTATAATGGAGTACAGGGGAGCTGGGGGATATACATTACTGTATACATGTCATGTCATATCACTATAATGGAGTACAGGGGAGCTGGGATATACATTACTGTATACATGTCATATCACTATAATGGAGTACAGGGGAGCTGGGATATACATTACTGTATACATGTCATATCACTATATGGAAATACAGGGGAGCTGGGATATACATTACTCAGATATGACATGTATACAGATGTATATCCCAGCTCCCCTGTACTCCTTTATAGTGATATCACATCTATACAGTACTTACTCCTTGAGTCCCCCCGCGGCACTGGAGAGGGTGTCTCCTCTCAGCGGAGGAGAGCGGACCTCTCCTGCACCTGTACCCTCAACAGCGGTGCCGAAGAAGCCGGAAACCGGAACTCGACTTCACAATGAGGATTGGAGCGCAGCCGCTCCATCATCTGTGCTCGCCACTCGCTGCTAGAGAATTTCTCCTCGCATTTGGCGAGCGGCTTTTCTTAAGCCCTGTATATATATATATATATATATATATATATATATATCCCAGTTTTTTTTCCCCCTACTGTGGTAAATTCTGAGGGCTAGTTGTTGTGTTCAGGTGCAATAACATTTTGGTAAAAATGTGGGCAACTCAGGAGAATAACAAAGGACCTCAATCTTGTCACTGGACCTGTGCAAGCACTGTCAAAGGCTATGATGTGTAGTGTAGAGCTCTGTGGTTATCATCATCTTAATTAACTGAATAAGACACACAGATACAACAGTATTTGTGAAGCAATACATATATATATATATATATATATATATATACATACATAACAGTATATCATACACTGATCAGCCATAACATGAAGACCCTCATAATATTAAGAAGGTTCCCTTTTGCTGCCAAAATGGCCCCTTTCACCACCAAAGCAGCCATGTCCCATCTCGACATGCATTGCCACTAAGCCATCAATAGCAGATCCTTTTAGTCCTGTAAGTTGAGAGGTGGAACCTCCATGGATCAGACTTGTTTTTCCAGCACACCCCACGGATGCTCAATGAAATGAGATCTAGAGAATTTTTAGGCCAAGTCAACACATCAAACATCATTGTTGTGTTTCTCAAACCAATCTTGAACCATTTTTGCAGTGTGACAGGGTGCGTTATTCTGCTGATGGCCATTGCCATCAGGGAATTCTTACCGTTCAACAAAGAGGTATACTTGGTTATCAACAATGTTTAAGCTCCCCCAGCTTGCGTTTTTCCCATATTGTATCCTGGTGCTATTTCTTCCCCAGGTAAGTGACGCACACGCATCGGGCCATATATAGTTACATAGTTAGTCTGGTTGATAAAAGACACAAGTCCATTTAGTTCAACCAACAAAAGGGAGAATAAAGTTGTACAATCCTATATACAGTTGCGAGAAAAAGTATGTGAACCCCTTGGGATTACGTGGAGTTTTGCATGAATTGGGCATAAAATGTGCTCTGAACGTCATCTAAGTCACTGCAATAGAAGAACACAGTCTGCTGAACATAATACTACACAAACATTAGATGTTGCCATGGTTTAATGCACATAACATGTACATTCACAGTGCAGGGAGGAAAAAGTATGTGAGGCCCTACTTAATGACTTCTCCCAGAGCTAATTGGAGCCAGGAGTGAGCCAACCTTGACTCCAATCAGTGTGATGATATTGGATGTGTTGCTGACAGCTGTCCTGCCCTTAAAAAAACACACACCTGTTTTGAGTTTACTGGTTTCAAGAAGCACTGTCTGATGTGAACCATGCCTCGCAGAAAAGAGCTCTCCAAAGACCTACGATCAAGAATTGTTGACTTGCATGAAGCTTGAAAGGGTTACAAAAGTATCTCCAAAAGCCTTGATGTTCATGTGTCCACGGTAAGGCAGACTGTCTACAAATGGAGAAAGTTTAGCACTTTTGCTACTCTGCCTAGGCGTGGTCATCCTTTAAAAATGACTGCAAGAGCACAGCGCAGAATGCTGCATGAGGTAAAGAAGAATCCCAGAGTGTCAGCTAAAGACCTACAGAAATCTCTGGCACATGCCATTTTTGTTCATCTACAATAAGGAAAACATTAAACAAGAATGCAGTACATGGGAGGACCCACGGAGGAAGCCATGGCTGTCCAGAATATTGCAGCACGTTTGAAGTTTGCAAAAGAGCACCTGAATGTTCCACAGCACTACTGGCAAAATATACTGTGGACAGATGAAACCAAGATTAAGTTGTTTGGGAAGAACACACAACACTATGTGTGGGAGAAAAAAAGGCACAGCACACCAACATCAAAACCTCATCCCCACTGTAAAACATGGCGGAGGGAGCATCATGGTTTGGGGCTGCTTTGCTGCCTCAGGGCCTGGACGGATTATTGTCATTGATGGGAAATGAATTCCAGAGTTTATCAACACATTTTGCAGGAAAACGTACGACATCTGTTGAAGTTCCGCTCAGGATGGGTGACAACAGGATCAATGACCCAAAGCATACAGTAATTTTGCAGTGGCTGCAACAGCACAGAATGCGTTATTCTGCTGAGTGGCCCAGTTGTCCTGATCAACCTGATTGAAATGCTGTGGCCCCAAAGAGGATTCACACCAGACTTGAATATTGCACACTAAAACATTTTTGAAGAGGAGTGGTCCAAAATTACTCCAGATCGTTTGCAGGTCTGATCTGCAACTACAGGAAATGTTTGGTTGAGGTTATTGCTGCCAAAGGAGGGTCAACCATTATTAGTCCTGTTACATACTTTTTCCTCCCTGCAGTAAGTGTTATGTGCACCAAGGCAACATCGTTTGGCCAGTATATGTTCAGCAGACTGTGTTAGTTGTTGTGATAAAGATGACACAAGTCCATTTAGTTCAACCAACAAAAGGGAGAATAAAGTTGTTACAATCCTATATACACAGTTGATCCAAAGGAAGGCAAAAAACCTCCTGCAGGGGAAAAAAAATTCCTTCCTGATCCCCCAAGAGGCAATCGGTATTCCCTGGATCAACTTTACCTATAAACATTAGTATCCAGTTACATTGTGATCTACATGATGTAAAAGAAAACGTGATTCATCATGCCAGGCCACCTTCTTCCATTGCTCCATGGTCAAGTTCTTATGTTCGGGTGCCCATTGTAAGTGCTTTTTTGACTGTGGACATGGATCAGCATGGGCAGAACAGATTTTTTTTTGCTTTCAATACATCAGCTTCATACATAACATGTTTATTTGCTGCCTAATATATCCCACCGATCTCTTTACCGGTCAGTGATCCTAATGTTATGGCTGATGTGTGTATATACATCATATATAAACCTACCTTGTTCTAGTGATGTCAGTCTTTTGTTTTCTGTGTCTTCAGTTGGGGTAAGAGGCTGTATTAGCTTTTCTGGGAAATCTGTTGGAAGACATGAAAGTGAATATTTTATACATTTATTTTTACATATCTTTTATTTATCAAAGTAAAGATGGCAGGCAGAGTAAGGCCATGTTCACACTGGCATTGAAAGCAGGAGTTTCAGGGGCATTTTAATGCTCCTCAAACTCCTATGCAATTGATAATATGGACAGCACACAATGCTGTTCATATTATCAAAACATGAAGCTTTAGTGCCACATTGCTTCAAAAATTGAAGCTTCGTGTTATGTTTGCACAAGTTGAAGCATTTCAACTCCCTCCTTTCAAGTCTATAGTAACACATCACAAACATACTGGCATGCATTTGCAGTGCATTTGCAGTGCAGTTGTGGCACATTAGTAAGACTATATTAATAATAGGCGTTTGTGTTGTGGCTTTAACTCTCCTTTAATGCATGTCAAATGCACCAAAAATGCACATAGGGAGTTTGGGAGAGTGGTTTTAACACTCGTAAACACAAGTCTAATGCATTTATTAATGCGTTTTAATGCTATATGTGCGTTTGTTAAGAGTTACCATTTAAAGTCAAGTGTGAACAAGCCCTAACAGACACAGCCATCTACTGTCAGAGACCCAACTACTTCCCTGATTCACCACTAAAGCCAGATTATGTTTCATTCATAAAATTGATTGAAAGTCTGTTTACATAGAGTTAGATCTGGTTACTGCTTACTGGCTTCAGTGCTTGGGCCTGGCAATAGCTTGCTTATGCACCAATCTATGCATTCTGAGAGGTAAGTGTGTGCACATGAATACTACAGTATATATGTGCAGACCCACGCTGGTGTGCCCCAGCAGATGATAAAATAACCCCCCAGTGGGTGGTTTATTTTACCAGTGTGCACGTATAACCAGTGTGATGAAGCACAGTCCTACAGAAGGTTCCGGGGTGGATATGGAAGGCAGAAAGCAATGTGATGGCATCATTGGTAATTATTGTTACTTTACCTGCTATGTACTTAAAACTCTATAATATAAATAATATTTATAACTATAAATAATATTAAAAAACAGCTGTCAGTAGGAGCAATAAAACTGAGTGAGGTCCGTAAAATTGCAGAAGTTTGTGAAGTTTCCTTTTCAGACACAGCATTTAATGACATGTGCAATATTTCTGTCCAATAAAAAATGGTAGAAAACGTAGGTGTACAAATGATCCTCCACATGCACATTTTCTATAAGTTTTGTTTTGTTGTCTAGCTCCATTGCATTTGTATTTTGAAAAAAAATTTTTCTCAAAATGCACCGTCAGAACAAGGGACTGATGGTGATGGTGAGGGGAACAGAGGAAGAGACCACAGCACCCCACCTGTGAAGTAGTGGCAGAGCAGATCGGGGTCCTGGGCTATGATCCTCCCTAGCTACATGCAGCTGGTGATAGAGCCAGCGGGCAGCAGGAAGGTGAGAGGACTCCATGATATTACATGACATAACAAGACACTGACTGCTTCACCACAGCTGATGAAATGATCAGTGAACCTTGCTGATAGGATCTGGGTATGTTACAGGCATCTGAAAGCTGTAGAACATTGTATATGTGTAATTTGGGCTGGAGGGGGGGCTCCTGGTGTAGTATGTGGAGGATACTCATCTCCCCCTCTCTCTCACTCCCCCTCACCCCTCCTCTCTCTTTCACCCCCCCATCTTTCTCACCCCCCCCCCCCCCCCCCTCTCTCCACTCTCTCTTTCTCGCTCCCCCCTCCCTTTCTCTCTCTCTCCACTCTCCTTCCCCCCCCCCCCCTCCACCTTCTTACCTCCCTCTCTTTCCCCCCCTCCCTCTCCCCCCTTCCTTCATCTCTCTCCTACTTTCCCATCTCTCTTTTTCCCTGCAGGGCACTGTGGCAGGCAAGACAGGAATCCTGGTATTTTGGAAAAAATCTATTGGTGGGGGTGGGTGGGTGACACCAACCCTAGTGACACCACTGATGAGCACTGTCTTGTGTGTGTAGCCCCGTCTGCAGAACTGTCAGGAAAACGATTCTGAGTCTGACAGCAGAGGAGACTTTTACACAGGCACAGCTACAAGAGAGGATTCTTATTATAGAGCTGCGAAAAGTCAGTGTTGCAACTACCCTCTACCCAATAAAACATTAGATAGGATGTGGATTAAAGGGATTGTGGGAGGTGTAATTCTGACAGATTGAGCTTGCTTGGTGAGCTAGACAGGGACAAACGGCAGATTCCACAAGGCACTGAGACAAAAAGGGAGGTGGTTCCCTGCTGCTTTTTCTGGGCTAAGGAGAACTGGGGAAGTTTTCCGAGAAGACAGAATGCACCTTTGGCTGCTAGCAGACCACTGAGAGGGAGAGAGGAACTGTGAAAGACTTCTGGGGACATTGGAGAGAGCCACAGATTTTGGTGGAGCTCACTGCCAGAGCAAGGGTGAAGGACACTGTGAACACTGACCGCCTGCACTTCACACAGTGAACAGAGAGGTCACCAGCTGACACAGGAGTTGGCAAAACCACACAATACCTTGACCATAAAGGGACAGTGTTGCTGCAAATAACACAGCCTCAGTGCCTATATCCATTCTTAAAGGGACAGTAACCTGAGTGCTCCCATGTAAGAGTTGGGCTGCAACTAGCTGACCAGCGGAAGAAGGGGGAATTATATTGCAGACTGCTGGACTGTCCAGTATAAGGTTTAATAAGCATTGCTTTCTACACCAAGTGTGTTTCCATTACAGTATATTTATTTCTACTGTTCACTTATTGATATATATATATATATATGCACACGCACACACACACATTCCTTGCTGTGTTATTACTGTTGTATCATATCTCTTTTACCATTGGGGTACTCTCTATATATTCGCATTAAACATTCCCAACCGAGCCAGGTTTGTCAGATTGTGTGACGCTAGTTGCAGTCATGGGCACAGGAACAGGGGACCCAACACATCAAGGGGCTCATTCAGGGGTAAGCACTACATGTGTATAGATGACCTTAAGCTGGAAATGCATGTTAAAATTTGATTGTCCAATCTCTGGAAAGAGTGGATTTTTGTACACGCTTTAAAATTATTTTCTTGGGGTTCATTGAGGGACATGGAATTCAGAGACAATTGTGTTAAGCTGCCCTCTACAAGAGGATTTGGACACTGACAAACAAAGAACAGTGATCATCCTGGAACAACTCTCTCACTCCCAGCAAACCTCAGTTTTGTAAAAAGCGCTCATGAGAGCAAAAACCATACATACATAGAGGTGTGTCCCTCAATGAACTCCAAGAAAAGGATCATACAGGGAGTACAAAAATCCAGTTTTATTACTTGTTCATTGAGGGACACGAGATTCAGTGACAATTTGTACATCCAAAAGCAGTCCAATTAAGGGGTGGGAAACACAGCAAACAAAACACTAACTTGCTCAAACACAAAACTGTAACACTAACTGTAACAACACAAAAACAAGTGGCCTTATGCCGAAAAGCCAAAGAAGCTCTCGTAGATCTATTAGGCCTTGATAGAGGAAAGGATCTAACCCAATAAGCTTGAATGATAATCTGTCTGATCCATTAGAAGGGTTATGGAACATGTCTAGGTGTAGGGAACATTTCTAGGTGTAGTTAATATATACCACTATCGTGGCAGTGTTTGATTGGATCCTAATTGGAAAACTCTCCAATTGTGGTGTTCAGCATTATTGGGAAAACCAAATTTCTAAGGAGCTCCAAAATGTTGACTGGGGAACAGGATTTCTATGGCGTCCAAGTCCCTTGCACCAGCAGGCAGTCTAGGACTCTTAAGCCTGACAGGCTGGCATACATGGTGATGATCTTCCATGAGATTGAAAGGAAGGATTTCCCCAACTCCATAGCTGGATCTGTTACTGACAAAGATGATGCTGCTCCTAAGACCTCTGCAATCCTGATATCTAGTTAGCAGGTGCTCACTCCTCCAGAGTCCATTCTTCCCACACAACATTTAGTAAAGTTCTGGAGCTGCACACTACTGCCAAAGTGTAAAATCAATCTTACTGCACAGCACAAGCACAGACAACACACACAGCTTGTCCAGCTCCAGAACTTTTCTGAATCCAGAATTAGATTCCTGAGCCACCAGGCCAGAGACAACCTGGTTCTAGGTGTCAGGCAAATCATTTTGTTCAGAGACTGAATCGATTCATCCCATGATGAAAGGATGTTGAGCTGTAGATGTCTGGAGGTAAACTCAACTGCCTTGAAATGGGCTGCCATCAACTGTAGAACTCTCATGCAGAACAAATTGTTTCTTGGCTCCTGGATTAAAGAGTCTAGTAGTGCAGAGCTGTCGGCAGGCATTCCAGTTGCTCTACAAATAGAGAATTGGTGTGGAGTAAATCTAGATCCCTTGCCATGAGTTTTGTCTATTGCCCTAATGTGTAATAGACTAATATCACAGCCATGACAGGCCACAATGCAGGGCCTGTAAGAGAATCCAACAGTTTTTGGAGAGAGTCTCCAAATGTTTAGCTATGGGGTCCTTAAATACTGGCACATCCTCTATTATTTTTAGTATACAGGAAATATATAGCGTCAACAGTTTATGCATCGCTTTGCAAAATATTCTCTAAAGGCATTGTCAGTGTTTTATTAAGACAGTACACTGTTGGATCAACAGTGGGAACAGCCTGCTTCCTAATAAAAGCCTTCTGAAAAAGGTATTGGATTGCAAAACATTTGGGAGGTGTAAACCATTTATCAGGAGCTTCCCAGTCATGCAAAGATTCATGAGACTCTTCATGAGATAACGCCCTCTCAGTCAAAGCCTCAATGGTGCAGGCAGGCCAGATAATAATTCTGCAGGGGAAGGCTTATGCTTATGGCCTCTACAGTCAGAGTTAAGCCCCATACACGCAGGACGAATATGAATATCAGCTGGTATTGGATGGTTCAACAGAAACCGTCTGACATTTGGCCCCTGTGTACATACACCTGTGTGAATGGCTGGCTTCTGTCAAAATGGGCATGCTGGAAAACCAGCATCCGATCGCATCCGATCAGTTACATAATCTAGCTGAAAAGAGACAAAAGTCCATCCAGTTCAACCATTAAAAAAAATAAAATAAATTAAGTTATAATCCTATACCCACAGTTGATCCAGAGGCAGGCAAAAAAAACCCCCTAGCAAAGCATGATCCAATTTGCTCCTGCAGGGAAAAAATTCCTTCCTAATCTCCCGAGAGGCAATCGGATATTCCCTAGATCAACTTTATGACTTCCAGTGCTGACCAGTATGTTCTGGCAGGGGGGGCATCCCCCTGTCAGGACACAATAGCTCTGCAGGGAGATCGCTGTATTAACATCAGACAGTTAGTACAGCGAGCTCCTCCAGAAATTTTCTGTTTTTTTTTTTATTCAGCCCACTGAGTTGAATGAAAAAAAAATTATATTGCGTACCAAACATAACCAATCAAAATTACAACTTGGCCCATAAAATCCTGCATAACTGTGGGGAAATCCTCTCGGGTTAGAACCAAAGAGGGGCCACACCCAATAGAAGAATCCTACAAGGAAATAGGGACTGACATATTCCAGGTTGTTGGGGTCAAGCCTTTTAGAGGTGTAGCTACATGTCTCTTGTGATAAGGAGCAGTGGCGGATGAGTGCTATCTCATGCTGAATAGTGGGAATACTGCACGTACAACACTATACCAACTGACACAAAGATTAAAGTGGAACTTCACCCCAAAAGGGAAGTTCTGCTTCTTGTAATTCTCCCCCCTCCTCTAATATTTTTTGGGGGGGCAGGTACCCATTTCTGTCAGGTACCCGCTCCCACTTGTGCTCCGAGCGGGGCCTGCATCCTCCTGGGACACGTCAGAGGCCCCAGGAGGCTGCGGGTCCATTCACAAAGCACAGCACAACTCACCCATGTGCAGTGGGAAGCTGTGAAGCCACAAGGAATCACAGCTGGCTTCCTACATTCAAGATGGCAGTGCTGGGAACCTAAAAACCACAGAAAGAATTGGCTCAGGTGAGGACAGCAGAGGATCCCTGGACAGGTAAGTATCCTTCTATTCAAAGTCATCAGCTACAGTATTTGTAGCTGCTGAATTTAATAAAAAAAATATTTTTACCAGATGAAGAAACTCTCTTTCATTCTCCAGCATTAGTAATAATGATAATAATGGTACTGATAAACAATTTAGCTTCCAGTGCTTGGCCCAAATGCTGTACTCATAGAATGAGTCTTAAGGACTGATGTCATGCCAGATGCTGTGCAAAGGCTCTGGACCTGGAAAGTGCTCTGCAGCCAACTAACACGGTACCCAGGTATCTAAAAAGCATCACAATGCAGAGCCCAGTACCCAAAGGTCACATTCCAGGCAGGCCGTGCAATCGTCCAGTCGAATCAAATCTGGGTATAGCCTCTAAAGCTTTTACTGAGGATACGCCAATCTAGATAGCTGTACAAAAACTAGTTCAAGCAAGGTTTAGGTCAAGTCTTGACTGAAGAAAAAAAATGAATGAAAAAAAGAAAAATGGCTAGTAAAAATGGACCTCTTAGGACACTACCAAAAAAACAAGGCATGCTGGGAGTGAAGGGTTTTATGAAGCAGATCACTAATTCTTTGGTTTGCTGGCATCCAAATCTTGCTGTAGGTGTATTGTAGCCCATTTTTCTCTGAATCTTGATGTCCCACAATGAACCAAAAAGAAATCTCCTCGATTTACACAAAACTATATATCTGTCAATTCAGTTTGTATTCAATCAGGCATATCTTGCGTTACAAAAATCCTGGTGATCTGAAAGATATTTTATACTCAGATTGTAATGCATATGGTCAGGTTTGGCCTCTGCAGAGACCCCATCCATGTGTCAGCAACTAATACTAGTTAATTTGTACTGGTGCTACCTATGGCCACGTACTTTTGAAGAGTTCCTTCTATGCGTGATAGCTAAGGAACCTGTAAGGAACTCCTGTCTAAGTACACTAAATACTTGTTTATATATGCAGTAACTTGACATTTTCAGGACATACAAAAGCAAAACTCAATCTCATTGGGGTTAATATACCTGCTGCTTCCTTTCTCTCAGCTGCATCTCTCTCAGGCAGAGCACTTGGCCATGATTTATGTGCCTGATGGCCCCTACCACCTGCAAACAGAATGAAGGCCAATAGCATTTTAACTTGAAATAAAAGGAACCGATCATGACAGAAGTATGGGAACTGCCATTGCTGACTGTTTTTTTCAGGGTACATAGTCTGGGGCTGTCCTTTATCCTTCCATCAGTGCTTGATATGTATCTGCTTAATTGGTTTCAGGACATGCCACCACATAGATAAAACATTTTTAAAGCAAGGATGATGAACAACTTTAGTCAAGTTTTTATTGCTATCTGAGTTGTGGAGATTTTGCATCACTTTCTGTCACTATGAACAAGTAGTGAGAGGAAATCTTATATGGGAAGGCTAGAATGTTTATGGGGTTTTTATTGCTGTCTGTGCCTTCCTGTCCCATTGATCCCATTCCCTCATATATTATTGTGATGTTGCAAGGATAAATAGTAAAGAAAATCCTCCCCAGTGGAATCACAAGCAGCAACAAAAACCTGACAGTTGTTACCATTGGCCATTAACAAACAATTACAAGTAGAACAACCTACTTTGGCTAATCTGATGCTCCCTGTGTTCTGCAAGAACATAAAATAGAAACAATGAGAATATCAGATGGCAGGTTGATGGATTTGATGGATGGGTGGTGAAAAGCAGGATAATAGCTATGGATAGGTGGTAATAGCGGGATATTAGTAAACGTGTTTTAGTAATCTATAATCCAGACCTACAATGTCAACAAAATATCTGAATCTTACAAAATATAAACTGCACAACACAGAGCAGACTGGGCTACATTAGAACATATATTGTAAGAAAGCCATGAATCATCCATGTAGAAAGCAGCTAATTCCTCAAACCTGGGAACTCTGGGAATCCGCTGTGGATTGGAGGAATGCCACACTGCAACTTGTAAAACACTACTGCCTCTCTTCAAAGCTACCCAGAGACATTACTCTTTATACCTTATATCTATGAAGAAAGAAGAAGGCCAACATCATAACTCAGTGGTAACAGTAAGGACCAGGAAGAAATGTCCAGCCTGTCCATTCATCTGCTCCCTTGAGAATGATCATCTTCTTTTCTCCTTAAGGAATTGATGATAGTCACTCGATTTTGTAACACCTATTTCTTGTATATGGATACCTTTAGATAAACAAAGTTTACATTGATGTCCCTACCAAGCACTAAAAAAAGGTTAACAATTTCCTTTTACATACAATCCTACTGTGTGTTCTTGTCTCTTCATTTCTTACCTCTTCTCTCCACAACTTTCTCCTCCGCTGTAGGCTCCTTATTTTCTGTAGGAGGAAATTCCTGGGACGATAGACTTGATTTTCGACTCCGAATATATGGGGACCTAGAAAAAAAATTCCTATTGGAACTGAGATTTACAATTAAATTCCTTTATCTTAAAAACCAACAAACTTAGGCAGCCCTTTCATTAAAACATAAATAACAAAAAGAAAGAAAACCAATAACAAGTAAGGCTTCATTCAGGTGGTAGCTGACACCTGGCTCCCTTTGTTATTGCTTCTGCATTCACTCCAGGCTGTGTGCAGGCAGTTTATAGAGGTGGGTGCATACGCAGTGGCTGCACAGACATATGGGCACAAACAGGAGCGCAGATTCAAATGTAGACAGCATGTTGCTCGGATCTGTGCATCCGCTTAATCCCGCACATTAAATTTTGACCTGCAGCTGTGTCTGTGCAGTCGCTGTGTCTGCATCCACTTCTATAGGCTGCCCATACGCAGCCTGGGGTAGATGCAGGCACGATATCAAAAGAGAGACTGCACTCAGGATGGATGTCCGAGCCGTCCAAATTAAGCCTAAAGCTTCACTTTTATAGATAAGTCTAAAATTGATCTGTTCAGTGGTATCCAACAAAGGGTATATCCAGATAAACTGGAAGCCAAATTAGAATCAATCATCAAAAGACTATTTAGGCGTGTAAATCGTACATGTTTTCAAGCGCCTACAGGGAAAATAAGCTGCTCTTTATCAGATGTGCGGGGGTACCATTAATTCTTAATTTCACCCCAATGGTGATATTTTTCACCAACCTCATGGTGCAGAAGCGGCTTCAATTTTATTAAGGTGCAGGGACCTTTTGCCAGCATTTTCTGCACCTGCAAACGTAGCACGCAAAGAATGCATAGATGTGACGCTAGCCCAAAGAAAAATTAAGCAAATATTATTTAATATAATTTCATACCAAATCCATAAAATAAAGCAAAATAAATGAGTAAACAGATATATTAAAAATCTTTAAAAGGCTAAGTCCCTGAGCAGAGCTCTTTCTCCAATTAAGGTGAATAAAAATAGTAAACATCATCTTGGTCTACTAGACCAGGGGTAGGCAACCTGCGGCTCTCTAGCTGTTGTGGAACTACATTTCCCATGAGGCATTGCAAAGATTACAAAACTGACAGTTACAGCTATGACTTGCAGAGGCATGATGGAACTTGTAGTCCTGCGGCTCTCAGGTTGCCTACCCCTGTACTAGACCAAGTACATAATAGGATCTTGTGTGTAATGCCTTTTTATTTTTAAATTGCTTCTAAATTTTTAAAACCATAGTGTGACTATAAAAACATTTAGTTGTACAGTACATCTGCTTTTACTGATGAATTAGGTCTGGTGGACCAAGAAAACGTTTACTTTTTTACTCACTATGAATGATGAAGAGGCTCCATCCAAAGACTTAATTAGTCTTTCAAACATTTTGAATGTATTTGTATACTCATTTATTTGGCATGGATACTTTTGTGTGAAATTATTTTGTGTTTTAACTTGATTCATTTCCTTTGGATGTACTTTTTATTTTTGTATTATTTCTTATAAATAATTCTATGTTCAAGTTTGTTTCTGATTGAAATGTATCAAAGGGAGGGACCCAAGCATAAAGAGTGATCACTTGAATAAAACATTTTTTTATTGTTAGATGATGGGGGGTGCTAACAATGCTCTAGATGGGTTGTGGAGATGCAGCATCCAGAGTCGCAATGCGGCATGGAAGGAGTGTGTATTGGCACACACTTTTGGCTTTTTTAGATATTTATCTGGATTTAACCATTGTTGAAAACCAACTGAAAAGATCTATCCAGACATCTATATATAAGTTGAGACTTTTTTCAGCTAATTTTCTTTTTCCTTTTGTTGATATTGAGGACTTTACTGGAAGACTATTCTGCAAAAGAATAAAGAATTAAGCAATTCATACAATGTTATCTGTGGCGTGTATGGCTGGAAGTCATAGGATGTTTCTCTCTCCACATCAGCTCCAAGCTGTCGGACATATGATGCATATTGTTGTCCCAGGTCATATAGCTTACTGCTTTCACACAGCGTTTGGAATCCAACAGGCAGGGGAGCTGTCTCCTTGTGCATGCTTTGATAGTAGGATATGGTGGCCTAGAGAGAAACAAAGAAGTCACAGAGTGTGGAAAGATGGATAGGAGCAAAACAAACTAGATACAAATGCTGACAATAGAAGGAGAATATTTAATTAGAAACAAAGAGAAAAGTGTGCGGAAGACAATTTGAAGATAAGTGAAACAGCTAGTAACATTAGAGATAGAAAGAGCAGCATATGAGTAAAAACTTCTTTCTTGTACCGAACGTAGGATCTGGTCTGTCTGTTTGATAAGCTCTTGTAGATGACGAAGAACATTCACTTTCACATCTTCCAGCTCCTGCTTCTGTGTCTTGGCATCTGCAATGCATGTGCGGTAAGTGGCCATTGCTTCCTCTGCCTGTAACAAAAGAAATGTGCAGAAGATAAGATTGTATCTAGAATGACACTGCAGAGGGAGCCAGCAATATACAGTAAATTTATAGCTAGCTCTGAATCAGCAGCTAGACCAGAAGTCTCTAAATTTGCTAAACAAATGGCTAGTTTACTGTCCTTCAGACTTTAGGGGGGAAGACTGTGGCCATTGGGGCTAGAAAATGCCCCAGTGCCATTGGGAGCAAACAATGCCTCAGGCTTGGTGGTCCGTGGGGGTAGAAAAATTACATATCGCCTGTGGTCAGTTGGTGGAGGAATAGTGCCCCATCATTGGTAATGATGGGAGGAATAGTACACCATTGTTGGTGTCAGTGGAAGAAAAAGTGCCCCTTCGTTGGTGTCAGTAAAAGGAAAAGTTCCCCATCATTGGTGTCAGTGAGAGGAATGATGCCTCCAATCTTTTATTTGTCTCCCATTAAAGGGGTTTCACTTTTCCTATAAAGGGATAGTGCACAGAAGGGGAACGTTGTGAATTTTTCCTTCCCGAAACTTTGCCCCACAATGAATGATAAGAAAATGATGTGTAATGAGTGACCATGTCATTATCATAAAATATATTTGGGTATGTACATACATTAGCCCAGCTCTGCAAGTTATGAGATGTATTCCAGATAATGCTCTACATTTGTTTTTCCCACCTTTTCACCAGTCTTACTCTGTTTTTAGCTTCTTCCTCGGCTCTCCTTTTTTTGTCAACTGATTTGGCACCGCTGTGACTCTGCTCCTCTTCAGCACGTGCTGCATAATACTGTGCTTTTTCATGCTCTTCACTACGTTGCATATATATCTGCTTTGCTTTTCTAAGGTTTACTTCTGCCTCCATCTGACAGAAAAGGTAAGAATATGAAGTTATATAAAAGAATTACGGTAGTCATATCAGTTTAATGCACTATATGGAAAGGGATTTTAGTAGATGCAGTGGTAATTTGGCTCTATGTTTACTAAGAGAATGTTCTCTTTTCCAAGAGAACTTTTGGCTGATCCAGCTGTTTACAGTCAAAAAGGGGAATGCCCATATACAGTGCTTTGAAAAAGTATTCATACCCCTTGACATTTTCCATATTTTGTAATTTTACAACCAAAAACGTAATTGTATTTAAGTCCTCACTGGACTGCACACTGGACTTTTTTACAGCTGCTGTTTTTGGCTCTTGGTGTTTTTTTCTACAGCCAATAAACTCCCCAGCATGTTATCCTATGTGTCCATGCACACATAGACTGTAATCAGCGTTTTTTGGCTGGAAAAAAAACCCAGGACTAGTGGGTTTCTAGATGAGTTTTTTAGCTGTAAAAACGCTCTAAAGCTGAAAAATGTGGCAAAACATGGCAAACCAGCGTTTTTGGACTGTTTTTTAGAAAAAAAAAAGCTAAAAACCGCAAATGCGGAAAAACACGTCAAAATGCCATTAAACGCTAATGTAAAAACGCTGAAAAACTCACGTTTTTAACGTGACTTTACACAGCTAACATTACCAGCGTTATTAAAATGCCCAGTGTGCATGGAGCCTTATTGGGATTTTATGTGATAGACCAACACAAAGTGGGACATAATTGTGAAGTGGAAGGAAAATGATAAATGGTTTCCAAACTTTTTTACAAATAAATATCTGGAAAGTGTGGAGTACATTTGTATTCAGCCCCCTGAGTCAATACTTTGTAGAACCACCGTTTGCTGTAATTACAGCTGCAAGACTTTTTTGGGTATGTCTCTACCAGCTTTGCACATGGATGGAGAGCGTCTTGCCACAGATTCTTAATTGGATTTAGGTCTGAACTTTGACTGGGCCATTCTAACACCTGAATATGCTGTAATCTTGAAAGAGCAGGGCCCTCAATTCCCTCATGTTTTGCATTGTATTGGTATTGTTCTGTCCCCCTTTGTAATGTACAGCGCTGAGCGAACTATTGGCGCTTTATAAATACTGTATAATAATAATATTAATCTAAACCATTCCATTGTAGATCTGGCTGTATGTTTAGGGTCGTTGTCCTGCTGGAAGGTAAACCTCCACCTCAATCTCAAGTCTTTTGCAGACTCTAACAGGTTTTCTTCTAAGACTGCCCTGTATTTAGCTCCATCCATCTTCTCATCAACTCTGACCAGCTTCCCTGTCCCTGCTGAAGAAAAGCACCCTCACAACATGATGCTGCCACCACCATGTTTCATGGTGGGGATGGTGTGTTCAGGGAGATGTGCAGTGTTAGTTTTCTGCCACACATAGCATTTTGCTTTTAGGCCAAAAGGTTCAGTTTTGGTCTCATCCAGCACCTTCTTCCACATGTTTGCTGTGTCCTCCACATGGCTTCTCGCAAACTGCAAACGGGACTTCTTATGGCTTTCTTTCAACTAAAGGCCAGGTTTGTGGAGTGCATGACTAATAGTTTTCCTGTGAACAGATTCTCCCACGTGCGTTGTGGCTCTCTGCAGCTCCTCCAGAGTTACCATGGGCCCCCTGGTTGCTTCTCTGATTAATGCTCTCCTTGCCCAGCCTGTCAGTTTAGGTGGACGGCCATGTCTTGGTAGGTTTTCAGTTTTGCCATACTTTAATTTCAGATGATGGATTGAACAGTGCTCCATAAGATGTTCAAAGCTTGTGTTAATTTTTTTATAACCTAACCTGCTTTAAACTTCTCCACAACTGTATCCCTGGCCTGTCTGGTGTGTTCCTTGGCCTTCATGATGCTGTTTGTTCACTAATGTTCTCTAACAAACCTCTAAGGGCTTCACAGAACAGCTGAATTTATACTTAGATTAAATTACACACAGGTGGACATCATTTACTATTTAGATTACTTCTGAAGGCAGTTGGTTCCACTAGATTTTAGTTAGGGATATCAGAGTAAAGGGAGATGAATACAAATGCACACCACACTTTTTAGATATTTGTAAAAAATTTTGAAAAAACCATTTATCATTTTCCTTCCACTTCACAATTATGTGCCACTTTGTGTAGGTCTATCACATGAAATCCCAATAAAATATATTTACATTTTTGGTTGTGACATGACAAAATGTGGAAAATTTCAAGGGGTATGAATACTCTTTCAAGGCACTGTATCTGTAGACTGCCTTAGGCTAAGACCTGCTTGGAGAAACAATCCTTCATCCACGATGGATTTTCAGGGCTAATCACTATTATTTTACCCCAAGACAACCAGTGCCTACAAAGCTTTTCCCTCTCTGAATACAAACATAAACAGCCACGTGAAGTAAACATGCCTGCTTGTGCTATTATTGTTTGTAGGAACCACTATCCATTTAGGGTTCATGCACACTGGGCTTAGAAATTCCAGTTCCCTTGGCAGAAAAAAATGCTCATATAAAGCATTTTTGTACACGTGTTTAGGAGTATTTAGTGTTTTTTTTTTTTTTGCTGGCAAGATAAAAATCTCAAAAACACAATCCAGAAGGGTTTTTTTTCTGCCTCTAAGCGCTGACCTAAAAATTTGCCTCTAAATGTCCTAAAGTACATGGACACATAGGATAACATTAAGCTGCTTCTACAGGCAAAACGCAAAGATCCTGCAGAAGCAGCTTTTTTTAAGCTCAGTGTGTATGAACCCTTACACTTTTAGAAATGTCCATGGATTTCTCTGTTCCAAGAATACGATTGTGTATACCATAGGGGTCTATGGCTTTCTAAACACTAGCAATATGATATCTGACTATTTATAAGCTTATAGTTTAGGAGGAACACATAAATGAGACATGAGATGGTTGATGCAGGTGCTGGGGGCAATACAGACCCTGCAGTGGTAGAGCACATGTGCATTAGCTGGAGATGAATAATGTAATGAAAATTAACATAGCTTTGGGGTTAATTAGAGAAAAAATGTGCAGTTTTAAATCTTACCAGTTTACGCTCCGCTCGCTGCCATTGCTCCTTCAACTCTTTTCGGCGTTTCTCATGTTCTAAACGTCTCATATTCACTGGCTTCAGAAAGAATGAAACATATTCATTACAAATAGAAAAGTAATATTGTCATGCAGTGGTGCTGTTATTTATTAATGAGCCTTACATTAACACACATTTATAAAATAATGTAGTTAATAGTTTGATCTCATACCTGCAGATATGTTTGCTGTTGAAGTGTTAAAGATGTGTGGAGGACTCCATGTGCATGGTCTTGGTCTTGCTCCAAAGCTACTGAATAGATGGACTGGAAAGGCATACATGGCTAAGAATGAAATAAATTAAAGGATTTAAATGAGAGAGCAAGATAAACTAAATAGATATCACACTAAGAATTAACATGTTGACTTTGCAATAAGAATTCTAAACATTATGGACCTAATGGCCTATAGGTCATTAAGCAAAGTATCATAGGCTTATTTTCCATAACATTTTTGTTATCTTTACTGACTAAAATGAGACCCCATTTAGTGTCAATGGGTCCCTGGCTCCTTTTTCCATCTGCTCTGGATAACCACATTATGTCACGTGGTTCCCCCGATACAACTAGACCCTTGGCTATGCCTGTTGGTTCTGAGTGTTTAGAATTAAATCTGTACACATCCTTGCATAGGGTATGATTTATTGCCAAGACCAGGTGGATAAGGTGTGGATTCAAGCTGAGGTTTTTACCTTAGAACAATAGAAAGCAGTGATTAATAAAATACTCCTTTATAACAAAAAACTGATCTATGACCAAAAAAAAATGTAAGGTATGTGGCAGGACAAATTTCTGCCAACTCTTTAGATTTTTCAATTGAGAGATTTCAGAGATCTGTCTTTTATATCTAGATGTGTCAAATATACAGTATGTGTTCACATGTTATATCATACAGTGCATGAACATTAACTACAACAGGTGCCTGTGAAGATATGAATGAAGTTTCACACAAAATTTCACTCACACCGGATCCACTGTTCAGCCCTACTATACTAGTCCTTATCAATATTTACTGGCAATAAGAATGGGTGTACCCAATATCCTAAAGGAAAAGTACCTATATGAATGCCATTTGATGAAACAGGATGCCATTTGATGAAACCCCAAAACTGCATCAGCCATTCTCAGCATGAGCTACAGATATCCATGGTGGTAGCTGTTCTACATGGTGTTGTGAACCCTCTCCTGACCATGGGTGTTGGCAAGGTAATTTTTATGTGATCTGATTTCCTATGCTTGCGAGTATTGTTACTTTTTATTAACATTATATACTTCACAAGGCCAGTGCGCTCTGTGCTTTCATTTTGTATCTATGCGAATAATGTCTTATGTGTCTTTGCAAAATTCCCAACAAGCATAGACAGCTCTCCAAAGTACACTATATTGCCAAAAGTATTGGGGCACCCCTCCAAATCAGTACATTCAGGTGTTCCAATCACTTCCATGGCCACAAGTGTATCAAATCAGGCACCTAGGCATGCAGACTGCTTCTACAAACATTTGTGAAAGAATGGGTCGCTCTCAGGAGCTCAGTAAATTCAAGCGTGGAACCTTGATAGTTTGCCACCTGTGCAATAAGTCCACCCGTGAAACTTCCTTGCTACGAAATATTCCACGGTCAACTTTTAGTGGTATTATAGCAAAGTGGAAGCAACTGGGAACAACAACAACTCAACCTCAAAGTGGTAGGCCATGTAAAATTACAGAGCGGGGTCAGTGTCAGGGCAGGAAGGCTGGAATGGGCAGGCAGGCCTATGGTACGGTCACGCTGCGACTGACGACAGCCACTACCCACAGACCAGAGTCCCTCAGGGCGCGGAGTCTAAGCCCCAGGCTACCCTTCACCAGGGCCCCTGATGGTGGGGATGGACTTGACGCAGCCTGAGACCAGGTCGCGGCCCCCGAGTGACCCCAGCTGCGATAACGACTGCCGCCAATGGCGTACAGCTGGTGGGAGCTAGATGGGAACACGAGTAGAGTAGTCAGACAAGCCGGGTCAATAACAACGGAGCAGACAGTACTAGACGGTAGGCAAAGAATACTCAGGTCACGGGCCGGGTTCAGCAACGGGAGGTCAGATAAAGGGTTAACGCAGAGAGTAGTCTTGTCCAAGCCGAGTCGGTTACCAGGAGAGCAAAGGAAACAACACAAGAGCTTGCAACAGGGCAACATACAGGACACAAGTGCAGAGCACACTTGCAGACAGCAGGTTTAAATGTGCTCAACCACACCCTTCTGAGGAGGAGCCGCAGAAGCCTGAAGGCATAAAGGTTCCCACCATGCTTTGCAGAAAACCAAGATGGATGCCAGCTCATGGAGATGCACAAGCTCTGAAGAAAGGTAGGACCTTGACAGTCAGTTCATGCTGAAGTGCAAAGTGTGCAGAAGTTGCCAACTGACAACAGAGTCAATAGCTAAAGACCTCTGAACTTCGTGTGGCCTTTAAATTAGCACAACAACAGTGTGCAGATAGCTTAATGGAATGGATTTCCATGGTCGTGCAGCTGCATTCAAGCCTTACACCACCAAGTACAATGCAAAGCGTTGGATGCAGTGGTGTAAAGCACGCCGCCACTGTACTCTAGAGAAGTGGAAACATGTTCTCTCTAGTAATAAATCATGCTTCTCTGTCTGGGAAGCTGATGGATATGTCTGGGTTTGGCAGTTGCCAGGAGAACGGTACTTGCCTTATTGCATTGTGCCAAGTATAAAGTTTTGGTGGAGGGGGATTATGGTGTGCAGTTGTTTTTCAGGGGCTAGGCTTGGCCCTTAGTTCTAGTGAAGGGAACTCTTAAGGCGTCAGCATACCAAGATATTTTGGACAATTTCATGCTCCCAACTTTGAGGGAACAGTTTTGGGATGGCCCCTTCCTGTTCCAAGATGACTGCGCACCAGTGCACAAAGCAAGGTCCATAAAGACATGGATGAGTGAGTTTGGGGTGGAGGAACTTGACTGGCCTGGCCTCAACCCAATAGGACACCTTTGGGATGAATTAGAGAAGAGAACTGTGAGCCAGGCCTTCTCGTCCAACATCAGTGCCTGATCTAACCAATGCATTTCTGAAAGAATAGTCAAACATTCCCACAGACACACTCCTAAACAGGATGCCATTTGATGAAACCCCAAAACTGCAACAGGCATTCTCAGTATGAGCTACGGATATCCATGGTGGTAGCTGTTCTACATGGTGCTGTGAACCCTCTGCTGACCATGGATGTTGGCAAGGTAATTTCTATGTGATCTGTGAGCCAGGCCTTCACGTCCAACATCAGTGCCTGATCTAACCAATGCGCTTCTGAAAGAATGGTCAAACATTCCCACAGACACACTCCTAAACCTTGTGGACAGCCTTCCCAGAAGGGTTTAAGCTGTTATAGCTGCAAAGGGTGGGCCAACTCAATATTGAACCCTACGGACTAAGACTGGGATGCCATTATCGTTTATGTGCATGTTGTGGCAGGCATCCCAATACTTTTGGAAATATAGTGTACATTGTTCAGCATCCAGCTTATTTGGACACATCATACACTGTTGAAATACATCATAGGTGAATATTCAACCACCAAACAAATGATTTTGTCCCTTGCTGGGGAAACAATTTGACATGTCTGCTACGTATTTTGTGTATGTAGTGATGCGCCCATAAACCTAATTATTTCAGTATTTCTTATCACCATTATCCTCATACCTCTTGTGTTATGACACCTTTGGTGGTGTTGACCAGTTTCTGAAGTCCCTTAGCATATTCCATCTCTGTAGGAAATGGGAACACAATAAAGTCAGTCTTGTAATGACACACCATGTAACACACAAACACTGTGTGAAAATAAAGGAAATGAGGAGATGTAGGCAAGAGTGTACAAACTAATATAATGTGATTTGCAGACATTAACACTGTTTCATTTGATATAAATGTAAAATGTATGAAGGTGGTCTATTTCTAGAATAAGACATAAAGAAAAATACTATTTATTATAAAAGCATTCCCTTCCCTCCCAACCTACCCAGCAATGTCCTCTTCTCGATATAACTGGTCAGATCTTTCATGTATTTTGCAAGTTTTTTTTTGCATAAAAAAAAGCTGCTCGTACACCTCCTTCACTTTTCTGTAGAATAATGTCCACATCGTCACCCAAAGGGTTTCCTGTGATCATACAACATCAATATATCATTGCACAGATGTTCTCAATGGAACTTTCAGCTTCACTGTATTCATGTGTGTTATAGCTTTGTTCACCTGCATCCACATATTCTGCACTGGCCAGTGTACTCTCGGCTCCAGAAAGACTACCATATAAGCTCTCCATGGACTGTTTTGAGGTAAAAAAATCAAAAATCAAATACTGGCCTAGAATTATAAAAGCTAGAAAATAATTCAAGGAAAATTGCATAGATAATACTAAATATGATATGACAGAACTACAACCATGTCTTACCTGGCTCTGATCCCCGGGTGGTAAAGATAATAAGGTGCTACTGTCCACTTCTCCCATAAGGAATTCTGAGATTCTGGAAAAGGCATAAGAGAAGCACAAACAGTGCCAATAGTTATCAATCTTCACTACTGAATTTGCAAGAATATTTATTCCCTGTACCCCTTGCAACAACCCTACAACTCACGTGCTGCTAAAACACACAGCCATGCTCTCCAATGCCTTCTCGAAGTCACGCTTCTCATTTTCAATGCTTGCTTCATAGTGGAAACCTGTGTTATATAATGCAAAGAAGTAACAAATGAGACATGATAACATATATAAGATAATTAAAAACGTACCAAAACAGTTATATCACTAAATATTTAATGGAGTCTTGAAATTATATAGAACAATTCTGACCTTTAACTTTGGAGATGAGGGTCCCAGCTGCAGTCAGAGTCTCTACAGTGTTGAGCAGAGGATATTTGTTGATTACTTGGCGAAGGAGTCTTAGTGCTTCCCCAAGGCACTCATGAGCCAATGGACGCCGGGTCTCTTTTACCTCTGTAGGTACACAAAAAGGATAATATGTACTCATAAACAGAATAAATGCTGCTTTTACAAAAACATCCATTACTTTACAGAAAATCACTAAATTTGAATAGTAGGAATTATTGAGATTTGTTGATCTTGATCCCTAAATGAATGTCAAGGGCTACAGGTAATGGCCACCACCAAGACATTTATTATTTATTGTAACTTTTATTGTTTTTTTTCTTTTTACATTGTCTGGTGATAGCTTGACCCTTTAGGTAAACCAGAGGCTACAATGAAAAGGTATAGAAATATGAACTATAGGGATTAGTCACAAGACTATCTGGTGAGGTTACATAATTAGCAGAGAATAGTATGACTTTACTTAGGAATGAAAACTAGGATTAACTTTATGTTTATTTTACCTTTATTTGATTGCTTGCCATTTCCAAGGCGTGCACTTACTTATTTATAAGACTTCCTCTATAATAGAAACACCTTCGGGCAGCAGAATTGTTATTTTGGGGAGAGGGGGTAGTGTTAGATTAACAGATTTAGATGGACATAAATAACAAATTGAAGCTGAACTCCAGCTAACACTTTATAGACAATTACAGCAAACTGTTTTTTTTTTCCCTTTGGGATCATGGTTTTACAAAAATGAATTGAAGCTCACCATTGTAAGCACCCTTGTCAGTGTTAAAATATTTTGTCTCAACCCTATAACTGCTACTTTTGCTAGACAGCTTGGTCAGTTAAAGGAAGTTGAAAAATAACAAACTGGCAGGACCGACAGGTGAAAATAGGGGGAAAAAGCCTAAAAAGAAAACTAATGCAGCCACCACATCGAAGAATTGGTGAGCTGCAATTTAATACATTTTTGTTTTTGAATTTAATACTGCTTTAAGTTATTAAAGTATAACTATAGGCTCCTATATGGCAATTCAAAATGATTACCAAATCCAATTACTATAAGATGTACAAGCCCCAAAATGTTTCTTTTACTTTCTCTGACTAGTTCAGTTCCTCCTTTATTAGTGTCTGGCATGCTCCTGCTCCCAAACAATGCTGCTCGCAGTGGGAGGGTTTCAATAACAGACAGGCTGCATTAACATTTCTGTTAAATCCACAAAGCACTTGGCAGGACTAGGTGTCGTCGGGTGCTGACTGCATGGAAATAATCCAACAAACTGGTTGTACTGAAGTCGATCGATGGATCGACTTCAGTACAACCAGCTTGCCCATAGATGGATAGAAACTCAGCCAGTCCCTGCTTAACCGGCCAAGATTCAATCCATCTATGGCCGGCTTTACTCCTTCAGGCTAAATACATACAAAGATATCACACTTGTATTCCTTGTTGTTTTGTGTGTAAAAGTGTGGCTTGCAGATTTATTCATATCATGCTGTATCATTTCAAATGCTTACATTTTACATCTATGAGCTACAGTAGTAAATGGAAGTCAGGATCTGACCAACAAATGATTTTTGGAATGAATCAGTCCATAAACAGGCACACTCATATTGGTTTCTGCAATGTGTAGAGACCCCCTGATGCATTTTCAGCACAAGGTGCAGGGCGCTCAAAGATATACAGTTAGGTCCATATATATTTGGACACAGGCACAATTTTAGTTTTTTTCAGGTATTTACCGAAACATATTCAAGCTATAGTTATATAATGGATATGGGCTGAAAGTGCACACTCTCAGGTTTAATTTGTGGGTATTTACATCCGAATTGGAGGAATGGGTTAGGAATTACAGCTCTTAAGATTAGCCATCACCCCTTTTTTTCATGGGACCAAAAGTAATTGGACAATTGAATCAAAAGCAGTTTCATGGCCAGGTGTGGGCTACTCCTTCGTTATTTCTTCATCAATTAAGCAGGTAAAAGGTCTGGAGTTGATTCTATGTGTGGTATTTGCATTTGGAATTTATTGCTGTGAACCTACATCATGTGTTCAAAGGAGCTGTCAATGCAAGTGAGACAGGCCATTGTAAGGCTTCAAAAACTAAACAAATCCATCAGAGAGATAGCAGCAACACTAGGAGTGGCCAAATCAACAGTTTGGTACATTCTGAGGAAAGAAGAACGCACTGGTGAGCTCAGCAACATAAAAAGGCATGGACGTCTACAGAAGACAACAGTCACATTTTTTTTTCACTGTGTGCATCAAGACAAAAACAATTATTGAAAACTGATATGTTCAGAAATGTTTAGATCTCTTGAATGTAAAGAAATGTATTCTAAGTTACAGCAATAGCTGTTGAAATGCTATATTGAACAAAGAGCTTCAGAATATATTTGGCGCCTTAGTTGGCCACTGAATTACAGTTGCAAGAAAAAGTATGTGAACCCCTTGGGATAACGTGGAGTTTTGCATGAATTGGGCATAAAATGTGCTCTGAACGTCATCTAAGTCACAACAATAGAACACAGTCTGCTGAACATAATACTACACAAACATTAGATGTTGCCATGGTATAATTGCACATAACATGTAAACATTCACAGTGCAGGGAGGAAAAAGTATGTGAGGCCCTAGCTTAATGACTTCTCCCAGAGCTAATTGGAGCCAGGAGTGAGCCAACCTTGACTCCAATCAGTGTGATGATATTGGATGTGTTGCTGACAGCTGTCCTGCCCTTAAAAAACACACACCTGTTTTGGGTTTACTGGTTTCAAGAAGCACTGTCTGATGTGAACCATGCCTCGCAGAAAAGAGCTCTCAGAAGACCTACGATCAAGAACTGTTGACTTGCATGAAGCTGGAAAGGGTTACAAAAGTATCTCCAAAAGCCTTGATGTTCATGTGTCCACGGTAAAACAGATTGTCTACAAATGGAGAAAGTTTAGCACTGTTGCTACTCTCCCTAGGCGCGGTCGTGCTGTAAAAATGACTGCAAGAACACAGCGCAGAATGCTGCATGAGGTAAAGAAGAATCTCAGAGTGTCAGCTAAAGACCTACAGAAATCTCTGGCACATGCTAACATTTTTGTTGACACATCTACAATAAGGAAAACATTAAACAAGAATGGAGTACATGGGAGGACACCACGGAGGAAGCCATTGCTGTCCAAAAAGAATATTGCAGCACGTTTGAAGTTTGCAAAAGAGCACCTGGATGTTCCACAGCACTACTGGCAAAATATACTGCGGACAGATGAAACCAAGATTGAGTTGTTTGGGAAGAACACACAACACTATGTGTGGAGAAAAAAGGCACAGCACACCAACATCAAAACCTCATCCCCACTGTAAAACATGGCGGAGGGGAGCATCATGGTTTGGGGCTGCTTTGCTGCCTCAGGGCCTGGACGGATTGTTGTCATTGATGGGAAAATGAATTCCAGAGTTTATCAAGACATTTGGCAGGAAAACGTACAGCCATCTGTCCACCAACTAAAGCTCCGCAGAGGATGGGTGATGCAACAGGACAATGACCCAAAGCATACAAGTAATTCAACAAAACAATGGCTGCAACAGCACAGAATACGCCTTCTGGAGTGGCCCAGTCAGAGTCCTGACCTCAACCCGATTGAAATAAGAGAGCGACACCAGACATCCCAAGAATATTGCTACACTGAAACAGTTTGTGAAGAGGAGTGGTCCAAAATTACTCCAGATCGTTGTGCAGGTCTGATCTGCAACTACAGGAAACGTTTGGTTGAGGTTATTGCTGCCAAAGGAGGGTCAACCAGTTATTAAGGCTAAAGGTTCACATACTTTTTCCTCCCTGCATTGTGAATGTTTACATGTTATGTGCAATTAAACCATGGCAACATCTAATGTTTGTGTAGTATTATGTTCAGCAGACTGTGTTCTTCTATTGTTGTGACTTAGATGACATTCAGAGCACATTTTATGCCCAATTCATGCAAAACTCCACGTAATCCCAAGGGTTCACATACTTTTTCTTGCAGCTGTAGCTAGCTGAGTGTAAAGCCAGCCATAGATGAGTCGAAAACAAAACAAAATTTGCGTTGATCATCATATCGTTGATTTTTCTCATTATTAGTGTGCTAACTGCAATCAAAAGTGCCTGATCCAACATGCTGGGGTTTTTATTTTTAGAGAAATTAAACAAATGATGTCACAGTCATATGAGCTATTTCCATTTTTTGATCGTCAGAAAGTTTGGTTTTCAACTCATGTATGATTGGTTTAGGGTAGCAACAGATGTGTAGAGCTGCCCCAGTGAATGTAGACCAAGTAGATCTTTCCTTTACTTCGATGACTCAAAGAAACATCGGAATTTGCTGCAATCTTTGCCCCAAAGATGACAGTAGTTCATAAAATGTCCCTTCACTACTCTAAACAAAGTGAGGGACCTTGTGTGATAATGAGTGTCCCACCTACTTGTCTTTTGCAGTAGAACATCAGCCCAAATATCTCAAGCAATGCTTAAAATAAAGAACATTTCTGCTTTCTGTTAAGTGATCTATAGACAGCTTAAATGTGCAAGAACCACTGATGCTTTGGCCTAAACTGGACAAAATTAAGAAGGGTGCGCTACAGCATTTCTGCCCTAGGTGTTAAGGGGTCTCAGTCCTTGCACTAAAGCTGGATGGATAGAATTTCTAATTATTGTTATTATTATACAGAATTTATATAGTGCCAACAGTTTGCTCAGCACTTTACAATAAAAAGGGCGACAATACAGCAACAATACAGTTCAATATCAAGAGGGTTAGAAGGGCCCTGCTCCTTGGAGCTTACAATCTAAGAGGGAGTTGCTAGTGGTACAAAAGGTAGTAACTGTGGGGGATGGACTGGTAGGAGGAATAGAAGATTCTGTTATCAGCTGAGGGCAGGATAGGCTTCCCTGAAGAGATAGGTTTTCAGAGATCGCCTAAAAGTAGTCAGAGTAGGCGATAGTCGGATAGATTGGGGTAGAGAGTTCCAGAGATGTGGGAGGTTCTGGAGAAGTCCTGGAGATGAGCATGGGAGGAGGAGATAAGGTAGCTAAAGAGCAGGAGGTTGTGGGAGGAGCAGAGAGGATGGTTTGGAGACAAGATTGGTGATGTAATTTGGGGCAG